TGGGATACGGCCAGCTTGTTGAAAGAAGAAGAAGAATGTAGTATTTACCACTCTTTAGAATAACATTCAGAATACTGTACATACTGTTAAGGTAAGGTCATTACAGTAATTTAAGTATATGAGATACTAGGTTATATTGAAATTGCAAATTCATTATGAAATTTAGCCTTAAAGCTTGAGGGTATAAGATTTTTGGTGATTTATCTTGTGCTGTCAGCTAACAGTGGACACGGTATTTAGTTTTTCTGCTATTTTGATACAAAGCATTTACAGTGGACCCCCGCTTAACGATCACCTCCCAATGCGACCAATTATGTAAGTGTATTTATGTAAGTGCGTTTGTACGTGTATGTTTGGGGGTCTGAAATGGACTAATCTACTTCACAATATTCCTTATGGGAACAAATTCGGTCAGTACTGGCACCTGAACATACTTCTGGAATGAAAAAATATTGTTAACCGGGGGTCCACTGTATTTTATTTAAATAAATGGGATAGAAGAATTCATGGAAATCACTAATTCATAAAATTCAACTGTAAAATATGGGATATTTGTATTTGTTTTAATGTATCCACTGTGATCATTGGCAATCATCGTGTGCAGTTACCTAGCAATTTTTTTGTACCAGAATCATTCACTCAAATCTGGACACAATTTAAATTTGTTCAGTAATGAAACAAAATATTGATTGGGTACTTAGCAGTTCCTGGATATATTGCCCGTATAAAAAAATGGTGCCCCTAGATCCACCTTAGAGGACAAGTTATTTTTATAGTTTTTATGGGTTTGTATCTAAGATTAAACTACACCTTGTCTGTTTAGAAGTGTTCAGTTTAGGATGCCAAATTTTTTGGTTTAACAGGGATTGGGATGTTGGAATTTGACTACAGTAGGGCCCCACTTATACGGCAGGTTAGGTTCCAGGCTACTGCCAGAAAGCAGAATGCCATTTTTGCCAGACAACAAGTTTACACTAACTTAAATTAAGTTAGTAATGGAACTAGGCATTAAAAAACACAATAAAAAGTAAAATACATACACAGTACATTCATTACTTACCTTAAAATATTTGTAGACTTAATGTAGGATGAGACGCGAGTAGTATTTATTTGTAGGAAGTCAGGTGTAGGTAGCCAGTAGATGTAGGTAGCTGGTAGGTAGCCTGGGCTACATAGCTATACAATATTTAATGCGGCTCAGAGCCATATTATTACCATCGGCATACCATGTTCACTGAGTTTAATCTTTTCTAACAACTTCCTTTAGATGCCATCATAAATTAAGGGAGAAGTAATGAATAATTCATGTCGAGAATTTTAAACAAAAGTGTTGTGTGTTAAGGTGGAGTGACTAGGCCAAACGCAGATTCATACATGTTTTCTCTGATGCTAGACCAGAGAAAACATAATACTTTCTCTCCACCCAGCTACCACACCTCATAAATATAAACATAGTAGTATGTTTATTTGCTATGTAACAAGTTTCTTATATAATTTTGAAGAAAATAGCATAGATTAATGAAAATGTCTATATTAATGTAAAATAAGACATTTAATGTGCCCAAGAATGATTATTATATGTATTAGTATTAGTTAAGAAAACCTAGGGAATGAATGGATTTCTTTCTCTTTCTTTCAACACACCGGCCATATCCCACCAAGGCAGGGTGGCCCAAAAAGAAAAACGAAAGTTTCTCTTAAATTTAGTAATTTATACGGGAGAAGGGGTTACTAGCCTCTTGCTCCCGGCATTTTAGTCGCCTCTTACAACACGCATGGCTTACGGAGGAAGAATTCTGTTCCACTTCCCCATGGAGATAAGAGGAAATAAACAAGAACAAGAACTAGAAAGAAAATAGAAGAATACCTAGAGGGGTGTGTATATATATGCTTGTACATGTATGTGTAGTGTGACCTAAGTGCAAGTAGAAGTAAAAAGACATACCTGAAATCTTGCATGTTTATGAGACAGACAAAAGACACCAGCAATCCTACCATCATGTAAAACAATTACAGGTTTTCGTTGTACACTCACTTGGCAGGACGGTAGTACCTCCCTGGGCAGTTGCTGTTTACCAACCTACTACCTAGGATGAATGGATTTGTCATTTAAAAACAGAGGAGGGGAGTTAGTAGATGGGGAGCTGGAGGTATTGGGTAGATGGCGGGAATATTTTGAGGACCTTTTAAATGTTGATGAAGAAAGGGAGGCGGTAATTTCATACACTGGCCAGGGAGGTATAACATCTTTTAGGAGTGAAGAGCAGGATGTGAGTACGAGGGAGGTGCATGAGGCATTAGGTAGAATGAAAGGGGGCAAAGCAGCTGGAACTGACGGGATCATGACAGAAATGTTACAAGCGGGGAGGAGATACAGTGTTGGAGTGGTTGGTATTTTTGTTTAATAAAAATATGAAGGAGGGGAAGGTACCTAGGGATTGGCAGAGAGCATGTATAGTTCCTTTATATAAAGGGAAGGAGGACAAAAGAGATTGTAAAAATTATAGGAGAATAAGTTTGCTAAGTATACCAAGAAAAGTGTATGGTAGGGTTATTATTGAAAGAATTAGAGGTAAGACAGAATGTAGGATTGTGGATGAGCAAGGAGGTTTTAGAGTGGGTAGGGGATGTGTAGATCAAGTGTTTACATTGAAGCATATATGCGAACAGTATTTAGATAAAGGTAGGGAAGTTTTCATTGCATTTATGGATTTAGAAAAGGCATATGATAGAGTGGATAGGGGAGTAGTGTGGGAGATGTTGTAAGTGTATGGAATAGGTAGTAAGTTACTAAATGCTGTAAAGAATTTTTATGAGGAAAATGAGGCTCAGGTTAGGGTGTGTAGGAGAGAGGGAGACTACTTCCTGTTAAAAGTAGGTCTTAGACAGGGATGTGTAATGTCACCATGGTTGTTTAATATATTTGTAGATGGGGTTCTGAAGGAGGTAAATGCTAGGGTGTTGGGGAGAGGGATGGGATTAAATTATGGGGAATCGAGTACAAAATGGGAGTTGACACAGTTACTTTTTGCTGATGATACTGTGCTTATGGGAGATTCTAAAGAAAAGTTGCAAAGGTTAGTGGATGAGTTTGGGAGAGTGTGTAGAGGTAGAAAGTTGAAAGTGAACATAGATAAGAGTATGGTGATGATGGTATCAAATGATTTAGATAAAGAAATATTGGTATCACATTGGAGAGAGGGAGTATGGAAAAAGTGAATGTTTTCAGATATTTGGGAGTTGATGTGTCAGCGGATGGGTTTATGAAGGATGAGGTTAACCATAGAATTGATGAAGGAAAAAAGGTGAGTGGTGCATTGAGGTATATGTGGAGACCAAAAGCATTATCTATGAAGGCAAAGAAGAGAATGTGTGAAATTATAGTAGTACCAACACACTTATATGGGTGTGAAGCTTGGGTTGTAAATGCTGCAGCGAAGAGGAGGTTGGAGGCAGTGGAGATGTCCTGTCTAAGGGCAATGTGTGGTGTAAATATTATGCAGAGAATTCAGAGTGTGGAAATTAGGAGAAGGTGTGGAGTTAATAAAAGTATTAGTCAGATGGCTGAAGACGGGTTGTTGAGGTGGTTTGGTCATTTAGAGAAAATGGATGAAAGTAGAATGACATGGAGAGCATATAAATCTGTAGGGGAAGGAAAGTGGGGTAGGGGTCATCCTAGAAAAGGTAGGAGGGAAGGGGTAAAGGAGGTTTTATGGGCGAGGGGATTGGACTTTCAGCAAGCGTGCACGATTGTGTTAGACAGGGGTGAATGGAGACGAATGGTTTTTGGGACCTGACGAGCTGTTGGAGTGTGAGCAGGGTAATATTTAGTGAAGGGATTCAGGGAAACCAGTTATTTTTCTATAGCCAGACTTGAGTACTGGAAATGGGGAGTACAATGCTTGCGCTTTAAAGGAGGGGTTTGGGATATTTTCAGTTTGGATGGATATGTTATATATCTTTGTATATGTTTCTAAACTGTTGTATCTGGGCACCTCTGCAAAGACAGTGATTATGTATGAGTGAGGTGAAAGTGTTGAATGATGATGAAAGTATTTTCTTTTTGGGGATTTTCTTTCTTTTTGGGTCACCCTGCCTCGGTGGGAGACAACCGACTTGTTGAAAAAAAAAAAAATAGTATTATTACTGGCGTTAAGACTAGAGGGACACTCTTAGTGATTTTAATGTGTACCTGCATGCCGCCAGCGCAGTGTGTAAGTATATTTAGGTACAGGTACATATAAGTATAATTATCAGAGTACAGTACATATAAATATGCAATAACTTTAAAACACTTGAAATTTTGGAAAGTTTCCAGACATAATAGAGAGATGTGCTCATGGAGAATGCAAACAAACTGGGTGGGGCACGCCATATTAGAAAGACGGGTTGCCATATAGAGAGTTTTGGTCATAATTTGAAATTGCCCTATTAGAGGAATGCCATAAGGCATAATGCCATAAAGCAGGTCCCTACTGTACTAACAAGCTGGACTACAATGATAATTTAAAAATATTATCTGTGCATCTATTGATTACCAGAACTAGGGATACCATACATTCACCTAATCAAGTAGTTTTAGATTGTCTTCTCAGTGTTTTACTATTTAAGATATTCCTTTGTATTCGGAACTGTTTTATTTCTTTTTTCTTGTTGGCTCTTCTTGTGTGTTTCTACTCCCACCTTCTTTTAGCCTTGCACTTAAATATAAGTTTCTTAAGCATAAATGCCACTATTTCTTTCATTCTTTTTTCCTCATGCAGATAATTGGCATATGCTTCACAGAGATAATGAAATCATCATTTTAAATTGTTCGGTAAATGTTTTAGTACTCTTCAAGAATTTTTAACATTTTACAGTACTTTTAAGTATTTTGAGAGTATTCTACCATACGTAACACAGCAGAATTTTCTTTTGGTACAAAGCATGAAAGCGCATAGATAGATGTTTAGCAGTATTGATAAATACATGTATATTAACTTCATTAATCCACAACACAGGAGGCTATGTCTGAAGTTCCAGTGATAGGATCTCCTGTACCAGAGTACGAAGTTATTGGGGATGATGACGATGATGATGACGACGATGATGAAAATGGTGCAAGGAAGAAACGTCGCTTGCCTCCTGTCCCTCTTCCTCCTCCTGATAAGGGCATCTTAATGAGTCCAACATACAGGTATGTTTGTTTATTTAATTTCATTATTAATCATCTTAACCTATGTGATTGTTAGTTTAAAATTACAGAAGCAGAGCTATTCTCAAGAAGCAGGTAGACTGGTTGTCTGTAACTGTTCTCAGAGGCAGTAGACTGGTTGTCTGTAATTATTCTGAGGCAGTAGACTGGTAATCTAACTATTCTCAGAGGCAATAGACTGGTAGTCTGTTACTGTTCTCATGGGTAGTAGGCTGGAAGTCTGCAGCTGTTCTCATGGACAGTAGGCTGGTAGACAGCAGCTGTTGTCATGGACAATTGGTTGGTAGACTGCAGTTATCTAAGGAGGTACTATTGGCCTGGTATATGAGTATGAAATGGAAGCTTGTTTAAATGTTTTACTTTTTAGCAGGACTTCTGGTCTTCATTACTGTCTCATGAGCATGTAATATGGCAAGGAAATCTTAATCTTCTTAATGGTTCTTAACCCCTTGACTGTCGCAACCCCCAATCCTGAGGTGTCTCCTGGTGTTGCAAAATTTGGAAAAAAAAAAAGAAAATTTTTTTTCTTATGAAATGATAGAGAATCTTTTCCCGATTGTAATGGCACCAAAAGAACGAAATTTGATGGAAAACTGACGAAATTACGCTCTCACGAAGTTAGCGACCTCGGCGATATTTACAAATCGGAGATTTCGCCCACTTTAAGCCCTATTTTCGGCTAATTCCATTGTTCTAGTCGACCAAAATCATAGCTATTTCTTTAGAGCTCCGTTTTTTTCTATCGATTGAGTACAAGAAACTGCCCATTTACCGATTTCAACTACCCAGTAACATGGTCAGAAATTTGCAATTTGGCCAATTTCACGAAAATTAAAAAATACGACAATTTCAAAATAAGGTCCAGAATGAACAGTGCAGACATTCCTGGCTCTAAAATAACATTTTCTTTGTTCATCAGTCACGTCTCCAGGTCCTTCTGATATTACTCTTGCTTTCTATTTTGAATTTTTATTCAAACAAAAAATAGAAGATTTACTGTTATGCAGACTACTGCAATACTGTAATAATTGTACAGATAATGTCAACCCACTCATGACTGCATATTAGAATGGCTAGTTGGACATTTATTGGACAATGACATCATTTGTTTACTTTTGAACATCGGCAAAAATCAAACATTTCCCCTATTTTGAGCTCCATTTCCAGGTTCTTTTTATAGTAAAACCAATCAAAACCAACCTCTATTTCTATAATATGTTTTCCATTCTATCAAATGAGACCAAGAAAACGAGAATACAACCATAAATACTATATGAAAATAGACCACAAATTCGGTATTTTAATTAAAAAAAACAGTCGAAGTTTTTTTTTTTCTCATTATGCATTGCGTGCTCCAGGATTTTTTTTATATGGTGTACACTGACCACACAAACCCATTCTCTCACATGTGGGCCTACCAGCTTTCTCCTGCTTGATTTGAAGCCGCTGGAATTTATGAGTATATATACGTCAAACACGGTGACTTGTAAGACGTATATATACGACCGAAACAGTCAAAGGGTTAAAACTGTAATATTTCCTTAACATTTAGGAAGCCTAGTTTGAGACTGGGTTGTGAACCTCTGAACTGTTAACATATAACAGATCAGGTATCTTTTCTCTGTTCCATCAAGTACCAGTACAGGCCGAGTACTTTGATGTGGTCCCAGTACTTTAAATGTTTTACTGATTATTCGTGGGGGGTAAATGACCTTTCTTAATATTCCAGCTTTGTTGTTTCTCCTTCCTCACTATGAGTTGTGAGCACTAGGCTGAAAAATTAGTTAAAAAAAAAAAAAAAAGACTGATAGAAGAAAGATGTGATAATTTCGTATTAGAATACAAAATAATTTGAAAAATAGATGAGGAAGATTATTTAAAACCATCAGCAGGGAAAACAAGACAAGAGACTATAGCTATAAGGTAAGGAAGAATTGACAAAGGGATGCTAGAAATATCTCTACAGAGTAGTAGAACAACGAATAAGATTATACAGTACAGTATGATAAATTAAGTTTCCTACTTATATTTGGTACAGTGGCAGAGTCTTGGCCCATTTTAGGGAAGTTTTAAAGAGACGCAAGAAACAGAGCTCTCTGGACAGTTTTTTTGCGAGACAGGACTCCAGTGACTCTCAAGGTGGTCCTAGTGGCATTAAGAAACAGAGAAGAGAAGTAACCCCAGAAAAGCAATTGGTACCCGAGGTGTTGATGGAAGGGGATTCCCCTTCCAAACAATAAATCATCCAATCAGTCAACCTCTCCAGTCTTCCATACTCAAAGAAGAATCGCCAATAAAGGTAAGTGTTATTCTGTTAATGTTTAATTCATCATTTCCCATTGTATTGTTTATGTACTACATCTATATTTCATGTAAAAAAACTTTTTTGTTTTAATACTTCTGGGTGTCAGGAACGGATTAATTGAATTTACATTATTTCTTATGGGGAAAATTGATTCGTAAATCGTCCATTTCGATAATAGTCCCACTTCCAGGAATGGATTATGGACGATTATTGAGGGAGTGTGTTAGATAGGAGTGAATGGAGACGAATGGTACTTGGGACCTGACGATCTGTTGGAGTGTGAGCAGGGTAATATTTAGTGAAGGGATTCAGGGAAACCGGTTATTTTCTTATAGTCGGACTTGAGTCCTGGAAATGGGAAGTACAATGCCTGCACTTTAAAGGAGGGGTTTGGGATATTGGCAGTTTGGAGGGATATGTTGTGTATCTTTATATGTGTATGCTTCTAAACTGTTGTATTCTGAGCACCTCTGCAAAAGCAGTGATAATTTGTGAGTGTGGTGAAAGTGTTGAATGATGATGAAAGTATTTTCTTTTTGGGGATTTTCTTTCTTTTTTGGGTCACCCTGCCTCGGTGGGAGACGACCAACTTGTTGAAAATATAAATAAATAAATAAATAAATAAATAAATAAATAAATATATATATATATATAATATAATATATATATATATATTATATATATATATATATATATATATATATAATATATATATATATATATATATATATATATATATATATTTTTTTTTTTTTTTTTTTTTCAACAAGTCGGCCGTCTCCCACCGAGGCAGGGTGACCCAAAAAAGAAAGAAAATCCCCAAAAAGAAAATACTTTCATCATCATTCAACACTTTCACCACACTCGCACATTATCACTGTTTTTGCAGAGGTGCTCAGAATACAACAGTCTAGAAGCATACACATATAAAGATACACAGCATATCCCTCCACACTGCCGATATCCCAAACCCCTCCTTTAAAGTGCAGGCATTGTACTTCCCATTTCCTTGACTCAAGTCCGACTATATGAAAATAACCGGTTTCCCTGAATCCCTTCACTAAATATTACCCTGCTCACACTCCAACAGATCGTCAGGTCCCAAGTACCATTTGTCTCCATTCACTCCTATCTAACACGCTCATGCACGCTTGCTGGAAGTCCAACCCCATTGCCCACAAAACCTCCTTTACCCCCTCTCTCCAACCCTTTCGAGGACAACCCCTACCTAACCTTACTTCCCCTCTATTGTATGTATGTATATATATATATATTTTTTTTTTTTTTTTTTTATTATCACACCGGCCGATTCCCACCAAGGCAGGGTGGCCCGAAAAAGAAAAACTTTCACCATCATTCACTCCATCACTGTCTTGCCAGAAGGGTGCTTTACACTACAGTTTTTAAACTGCAACATTAACACCCCTCCTTCAGAGTGCAGGCACTGTACTTCCCATCTCCAGGACTCAAGTCCGGCCTGCCGGTTTCCCTGAATCCCTTCATAAATGTTACTTTGCTCACACTCCAACAGCACGTCAAGTATTAAAAACCATTTGTCTCCATTCACTCCTATCAAACACGCTCACGCATGCCTGCTGGAAGTCCAAGCCCCTCGCACACAAAACCTCCTTTACCCCCTCCCTCCAACCCTTCCTAGGCCGACCCCTACCCCGCCTTCCTTCCACTACAGACTGATACACTCTTGAAGTCATTCTGTTTCGCTCCATTCTCTCTACATGTCCGAACCACCTCAACAACCCTTCCTCAGCCCTCTGGACAACAGTTTTGGTAATCCCGCACCTCCTCCTAACTTCCAAACTACGAATTCTCTGCATTATATTCACACCACACATTGCCCTCAGACATGACATCTCCACTGCCTCCAGCCTTCTCCTCGCTGCAACATTCATCACCCACGCTTCACACCCATATAAGAGCGTTGGTAAAACTATACTCTCATACATTCCCCTCTTTGCCTCCAAGGACAAAGTTCTTTGTCTCCACAGACTCCTAAGTGCACCACTCACTCTTTTTCCCTCATCAATTCTATGATTCACCTCATCTTTCATAGACCCATCCGCTGACACGTCCACTCCCAAATATCTGAATACGTTCACCTCCTCCATACTCTCTCCCTCCAATCTGATATTCAATCTTTCATCACCTAATCTTTTTGTTATCCTCATAACCTTACTCTTTCCTGTATTCACCTTTAATTTTCTTCTTTTGCACACCCTACCAAATTCATCCACCAATCTCTGCAACTTCTCTTCAGAATCTCCCAAGAGCACAGTGTCATCAGCAAAGAGCAGCTGTGACAACTCCCACTTTGTGTGTGATTCTTTATCTTTTAACTCCACGCCTCTTGCCAAGACCCTCGCATTTACTTCTCTTACAACCCCATATATAAATATATATATATATATATATATATATATATATATATATATATATATATATATATATATATAATATATATATACATACATACATACATACATACATACATGTATATATATATATATATATATACATATACATACATACATACACATACATACATATATACAGTGGTCCCTCGTTTTTAGTAATTAATCCGTTCCTGGAGGAGCTACTATAAATGAAATTTACGATTTGCGAATCAATTTTTCCCATAAGAAATAATGTAAATACAATTAATCCGTTCCTGACACCCAGAAGTATTAAAACAAAAAAAATTTTTACATGAAATATACATGTAGTACATAAACAATACAATGGGAAATGATGAATGAAACATTAACAGCATAACACTTACCTTTATTGGAGATTCTTCTAAGTGTATGGGAGACTGGAGGAGGAGAGAGAGTGGATTGTTTATAGTTTGGAAGGGGAATCCCCTTCCAGCAACACCTCAGGTACCAATTGCTTTTCTGGGGTTGCTTCTCTTCTCTGTTTCTTAATGCCACTAGGACCACCTTGAGAGTCACTGGAGTCCTGTCTCACAAAATAACTGTCCAGAGAGCTCTGTTTCTGGCGTCTCTTTAACACTTCCCCAAAATGGCCCAAGACTTTGTCACTGTACATGTTGCCAACATGGCTTGCAACAACCTTGTTAGGGTGATGTTTCTCCATAAAGCTTTCCATCTTACCCCACATAGTAAAAATCTCTTTAATTTCTGAAGAAGGCACCTTCTTCCATCTCTCTTCCTCCTCCTCTGCAGCAAGATTCTGAGCTGCGATCTGTTGCTCTTCCTGCTGAAGCTTTTGCAGCTCCTCAGTGGTGAGCTCTTCGTTATGGTCTTCCACCAATTCTTCCACATCCTCCAAACTTGCATCCAACCCCATAGAACTCCCCAGTGCCACAATTGATTTTACAACAGACATAGGCTCATCAGGGTCAGTCCCAAATCCTTCAAAATCCCTCTTGTCGACACAATCTGGCCACAATTTTCTCCAGGCAGAGTTCAAAGTCCTGGTAGTCACTCCCTCCCAAGCCATACCTATAAGGGTTATGCAATGGAGGATGCTGAAGTGTTCTCTCCAAAATTCCCTTAGGGTCAAGTGAGTGTCTGTGGTCACAGTCAAGCACCTGTGAAACATTTCTTTTGTGTAGAGTTTTTTAAAGTTTGCAATGACCTGCTCGTCCATGGGCTGGAGGAAAGGAGTGGTATTCGGGGGCAAGAACTTTACTGTGATGAACCCAAACTCCTCAAAAATTAGGTCATCCAAGTTTGGAGGATGAGCAGGTGCACTGTCCATTACTAGCAGGCACTTGAGATCCAATTTCTTTTCCAGGAGATACTCCTTCACACTAGGGCCAAACACTTCATTGAACCACTCGACGAAAATTTCCCTCGTGACCCATGCCTTACTATTAGATTACCAAAACACACACAATTTACTCTTCATAACATTGTTTTTCCTGAACACTGGGATTTTCAGAATGGTACACTAGTAATGGCTTCACTTTGAAATCCCCACTAGCATAGAACATTAGCATCAGCCTGTCTTTCATAGGCTTGTGTCCTGGGATTGCCTTTTCCTCCTGTGTAATGAAGGTCCTCTTTGGCATTTTCTTCCAAAAGAGGCCTGTTTCGTCACAGTTGAACACTTGTTCAGGTTTCAGTCCTTCAGCCTCAATGTACTTCTTGAACTCATGCACATATTTTTCAGCCGCCTTGTGGTCCGAACTGGGAGCCTCACCATGCCTTACCACACTGTGTATGCCAGTACGGTTCTTAAATCTCTCAAACCAGCCTTTGCTGGCCTTAAATTCACTCGCATCACCACTAGTTGCAGGCAATTTCTTTACCAAATCGTCATGCAACTGCCTAGCCTTTTCACAAATAATCGAAGTCATAAGAGTATCTCCTGCTAATTGTTTCTCATTTATCCACACCAATAATAACTTCTCAACCTCTTCGAGTACTGATCTCATTTTTGTCAGCATAGTTACCCCCTTTGCAACAACAGCGTCCTTGATTTTCTTTTTCTTGGCCACTATGGAACATAAGGTTGTGTAGGGTTTCTTATACATCCTGGCCAGTTCAGCCACACTTATACCACTTTCATATTGTTCAATGATGGCTTTCTTAAATTCAATCGTATTTCTCACCTTCTTTACCACAGGCTTGGCACTAGGAGCTTTCTTTGGAGCCATGGTAGCTTATTTAGTACTTGCAAGCACTAAAATAAGTGGAATATTATGAAATATTTCGCTGGAGCACGTGAGGGGACCTTCGCTCACTGGTAAACAATGCCAGGTTGGTTGCCGCCCTAGCTCACGCCGTGGGTACGCGTCCCGGACGAACTACGACTCGCGAGTCAACCTATGAAAAGTGAGTCTATGTTTATACGAAAATATCCCTATGATTGCCGAAATTTACGATTGCCGAGAGCTACGAAAAACGAGGGACCACTGTGTATGTATGTATGTATGTATATATATATATATATATGTACGTACTATATATTTGTGTGTGTGTGTGTGTGCACATACACTCGCCTAATTGTGGTTGCAGGGGTCAAGACTCAGCTCCTGGCCCCACCTCTCCCTGCTCCCTGAGCTGAATCATACCTCATCTTAAAGCTATGTATGGTTCCTGCCTCCACATCACTCGCCAGACTGTTCCACTTCCTGACCACTCTATGACTAAAGAAATGCTTCCTAACATCCCTGTGACTCAGATGAGTCTTCAACTTCCAAGGGTGACCTCTCGTATCTGTGTCCCCTCTCTGGAACATCTTGTCTCTGTCCACCTTGTCTATTCCGCGCAGTATTTTGTATGTCGTTATCATGTCTCCCCTAACCCTCCTGTCCTCCAGTGTCGTCAGGCCAATTTCCCTTAACCTTTCTTTGTAGGACATTCTCCTTAGCTCTGGAACTAACCTTCTCGCAAACCTTTGCACTTTCTCTAATTTCTTAATGTGCTTGACCCGGTGCGGGTTCCAAGCTGGTACTGCATACTCCAGCATGGACCTGACATACCTGGTGTACAGTGTCTTGAAAGATTCCTTACTTAAGTATCGGAATGCTAATCTCAGGTTTGCCAGTTTTTTTTTTTCGTATGTGTGTGTGTGTGTGTTATTTATTTATTTGTTTATTTTATTTATTTTAGGTACCGAGAGGATTATCAACCAAAGGCAGTCAAATTTGCTGATGGCATTTTGCCGGGAGAAGGCACATCTCCCTCAGGAGGGGAGGAGATACATTCTCCACCTCCACCTACTGTCAAACATAAAGAGAAAAAACTGCGCAAAAAACGGAAAGTTAAGGTCAAGATTATTAAACTGGTATGTTTACAATGTTTTTTATATTCAAGTTGTGAATAATTTTGTGTTGCTTGCATCTACAGTCAACCCTTATAGGCACCAATTTTACTTAGCACTTTTAATATTCTGATTTTTTGTTTTGTTTAAACACAATTATTTCCCACCATCTCTAATGTTTGCCTTGCTATAACACATGTCTTGATTAGAATTTGTATTTCATAAAAACAAATTTATTTAATGTTATGCACTTATTTAATACTATTGCCACAGATTTTTTGCTTTTCCATATGTTTTGTTTCAATGACAATGTAGTACAAAATTGTATGTGTGTGTGTATATATATATATATATATATATATATATATATATATATATATATATATATATATATATATATATATATATATATATATATATATAATATCACTTGTAAACCTACTCTACTTTTATATTCTTTAAATGCAGACTTTGTGCTAAGGTATGAATGTAGGTTTAATTATCTCAGTTCAACATTATCCACTATACAAGAGTTGCAGTGTATGTTCTGTATTATCCCTCCATTCCTTAATTTACATTCTCTATATACATACTTTTCCTTTCCTATGTGCTTCTTAGTAGTTCTTAATCTTGTAACATTTCCTTTCCAACCCAGGAGGCCTGGTCTGAGATTGGGCTGTAGGTACCCAACTGGAGGTTCCAACTTGCAAGGTTCCACACTTCCGGTATTGACATTTTGGAACCAGTTACAGTGGATCCCAACTTTACTGCTTAGATAGGGACTCGAGCAATCCTTTCATTAAACAAAAAAATACATTAAACAAATCAATCACACTTAACCATTGAAGCTGATATGACGAGAGATGGGACCGGGATGATATTCCTTATCTAATTCCTATTAATTCTTCACTGTTGAAATTTTAAAACTGTGTATTCACCAGAGATATGTCCATCAATAGAGGCATAGTGGTGTTATACCCTTGCTTTATGAGTGCATAACAGAAAAATATGAGAAAATATAAAAATATTGAGAGAAGTATCATATTGTACTATTGTTTTTGCTGAGATGAAGGATTGTTATGGCTCCTAGCCTGCCTTTTGTTGAGCTAATTGGTTGTGGGAATCCTTAGATCGACATTTTTCAATTCAACAATTTTTGATACCTTGAGCCCATCACAACTTTTCAATCCAACAATTGTTGATTGTCTAGGGGTTATCACAATCCTTCAACCAGACAATAACAAAATCATGATTTGATCCTTCCCTCAATATGTTGAGATAATTAATGAGAGACTGAGACCAGCTACTGCCAATTTTTCACATCAAACACTGTTAATCTCCCACCACATTCAAACACAGCAGTGAGGAAGTAGTGAGCATATGTAAAGAGTAGTGTTAGATATGAGCTAGAGAGGGTGGGAGTGGATAGTACACTGATAATGAAAGAGTACAGCTGCTGCCTACCCCTTCACATTGTTGTATACTGTATTGTAGCATTAAACAATGATTACATTTGTAAGTGAAAAGAAAACACTGAGTATTTTAAGTTAAAAAAATAAATGAAATTAGATACAGAATATAATGACTCAGGAACATGTGTCTGACTATAGGACAGAGATTCTGAACAGTTGACTTGTAAACAGCTTCCAGGAATTCATTAATGTTATAAGCTAGGAACCTGCTGTAATTATAAATCATTTTTATCTTTTGAAGTCTCATACCTATCCTACAGTTTTACCATATACAGGATATATAGGAAGTGACACTAACTCTAATATTTTACAGTATAACAAAGATGACAACAGTGAAAACTCGCCTCCACCACCGCCACCAGGGTCACCACCACCTCTAGCAGCACTGAAACTTTATCCTGGCTACACTCATTATAACTATACAGCACCAGGAACGGCTGTCATATACACTCAACAGCCACAACAATATGGTAAGTTTTCTGTTTAATGTACATAATATCATTGTTTTTCTGTGTATGGCAATTGGTTTAAATATTATGATGCATGAGTTGCCGATAACATAACACAGTAGTTTTGGGAGATTCTGAAGAGAAGTTGCAAAGTGTGGTGGATGAATTTGGGAGGATATATAAGAGAAAGAAATTGAAAGCGAACATAGGTAAGAGTAACAAAGATTTCAGGTAATGAAAGATTGCAAGTTGGGAATATAGAGGAAGTGAATGTGTTCAGATATTTGGGATGGACTTGTTGGCAAAAGGGTCTATGAAAGATGAGGTTACCATTGAGGCATCAGTGGAGACAAAAAATGTCATCCATGAAGACAAAAAGGGGGATATATCAGAGTAAAGTGGGAACAGCACTTATATGGGTGTAAAGCATGAATTTTAAAAGTTGCAGCAAGGAGAAGGCTGAAGGCAGTGGAGATATTGTGTCCTGAGGTCAATGTGTGGTGTGAATATTATGAAGTGAATTCATAGTTTGGAGATTAGAAGGAGGTGCGGGGTTACTAAAAGCATTATGCAGATGACTGAGGAGGGGTTATTGAGGTGGTTTGGACAGTTAGGAAGAATGGAGCAAAACAGACTGACTTGGAGAGTGTATAAATCTGTAGCAGAAGAAAAGCAAGGTAGGGGTCATCCTAGGAAAGGTTGGAGGGAGGGGGTAAAGGAGGTTTTCAACTGAGGGGGCTTGAGCATCGAACTGGCATGTGAGAGTGTATTAATTAGGAGTAAGTGAAGGCAAGTGGTTTTAATGATTTGACATAATGCTGGAGTGTGAGTGAGGTACCATTCATTGAGGGACTGAGAGAAATTGGTTAGCTAGACTTGAGTCCTGTAATTGGGAAGTAAAGTGCCTGCACTCTGGAGGAGGGGTGAGGAAATTAGAGTTTGAAGAAGCATCTGAGTTGTAAAATTGGTGTGCCTCTGGCAAGACATTGAAGGAGTGAGTGATGGTGAAAGTGTTTCTTCTTTTTTGGGTCACCTACCTCTGTGAGATATGGCAGATGTGTTAAAAAAATGATACCTGAAGAAATAAAGCAATTTTATTTTACTGTGTGAATTTGTTAGATTGGAGTGAGTGAAAACAGTCAGTTTCTGAGATTTGATGTGCTGTTGGAGAGTGAGCAAGAGCTTTATAAAAGCCAGTTTGAAAAACTTGTGTTTAGGAGGGAGTTAAAGTATAGCACAGTGGGTAGGGATGTTATGGTTTGGAGGGTTATTTGAATTGTAATGTCAGTGGTTCTGGAAAGATAGCTAGTCAGTGATTGATGGTGGGTGTGTTTTCCTTCTTTGGTTCATCCTACCTTGATGGGAACCAGCCAATGCATTACAAATTGTAAACGTTGATCTACAATTTCATGACGGATCACAGTTCACTTGTACATGATCTTCCCTCTTTGATATGCGCTTCACTCTTTCCTGTCATATGTATACTGTAGTTATATTATTAAGAATAAATTAAGAGAAATTAAAAATTAACCCAAGGAATTTTGTTTTATGGCATTCAGCACTTTTGTCTGTTCTCTTTTTTGTATGAGTCAGGAAGGATTTAATGAAGAAAGGGTGTGGAGAATATGTGGGAATAAAATAATGCATAGACTTTATTTATACATAGGAAAGTTCAAAATTAAGTTTGTGAAAATAAATAGTTCATTTGTCAGGACTTGTGTCACATTGAGAGTGGAACTTAGACAGTGTGTGATGTTATTGTAACTGTTTAATATGTTTACAGATAGAGTATAATTAAAGAGAGGGCTTAGGAAGAAGTGTTGTCATAAAAGATAACAAACCCAATTTGAAGTGGAAGTTGTAACAATTGCTGTTTGCAGATGGCACAGTGTTATTGGGAGATTTGGAAGAGAAGCTGCAGAGGATTTTAGAAGGGTGTGTAAAAGAAGGAAGTTAAGAGGTGGGTCCCAGGAGCTGGAACTCAAACTTACAAAACTCAGTAAGGAAAAAAAAAAAACGACCTTGTGGTGGACATAAAGGTGACCTATAGCTCAGTGGTAGAATGCTTGGCTCACAACCAAAGGAACCTGGGTTTAATTTCCAGACTGAGTGTGATATGAGGGCAAGTGTTTTTACAACTGCTGCCATTGTTCACCTAGCAATGGATAGGTACCTGAGTGTTAGTTGACTGTTGTAGGTGGCATCCTGGGGAAAAGTAATATCTTAGATAGGGCTGGGCTTGAAATTAGCTGCAGTAAGATATCAGCTCTTAGGCCATAAAGTAAAAAAAAAAAAAAAAAAAAAATAAAAAAATAAATAAATATGAATGGTGTCTCATAAACCCCTTCAGGATAATATAGAGTATACCATTGGAGAGTTCAACACCACAAGCCCCATCAACCCAGCAGGGTATCTCCCTACTCCCCCCAAAACTAGACATTTACTGGACAGGCAGGAACATCAAAGTAATGCATCACTCCACATGGATCAGTGTCAGGGCCCATATTGTTTCTGGTGTGTGTGTATTAATAACCTAATTACTAGAATTAACTTCAGTGTCATTCTTTGTGGATGATGAGGAGAATACAAGCTAAAGAGAATGAAAAGGTTGAAGGAAAACTTAGTCAGACTTCAGGAATGGTACAATATATGAAGGCTGCAGGAAGACTTTGGTAAAATAAATATGTAGTTATTTAAATTTAACCTAAAAACAAACCTATTTGGGGAAGGGGTAAAAACTTGCAGAAACAGTTAACCCTTTGACTGTCGCGGCCATATATATACATCTTACGAGGTACCGTGTTTGACGTATATATACTCATAAATTCTAGCGGCTTCAAATCAAGCAGGAGAAAGCTGGTAGGCCCACATGTGAAAGAATGGGTCTGTATGGTCAGTGTGCACCATATAAAAAAAATCCTGCAGCATGCAGTGCATAATAAAAAAAAAAACTCCGACTGTTTTTTTTAATTAAAATGCCGAATTTGTGGTCTATTTTCATATAGTATTTATGGTTGTATTCTCGTTTTCTTGGTCTCATTTGATAGAATGGAAAACATATTATAGAAATAGAGGTGGTTTTGATTGATTTTACTATAAAAAGAACCTGGAAATGGAGCTCAAAGTAGGGGAAATGTTTGATTTTTGCCGATGTTCAAAAGTAAACAAATGATGTCATTGTCCAATAAATGTTCAACTAGCCATTTTAATATGCAGTCATGAATGGGTTGATGTTATTTATATAATTATTACAGTATTGCAGTAGTCTGCATAATAGTAAGTCTTCTATTTTTTGTTTGAATAAAAATTCAAAATAGAAAGCAAGAGTAATATCAGAGGGGCCTGGAGACATGACTGATGAACAAAGAAAATGTTATTTTAGAGCCAGGAATGTCTGCATTATTCATTCTGGACCTTATTTTGAAATTGTCATATTTTTTAATTTTTGTGAAATTGGCCAAATTGCAATTTTCTGACCACATTATTGGGTAGTTGAAATCAGTAAATGGGCAGTTTCTTGTACTCAATCGATAGAAAAAATGGAGTTCTAAAGAAATAGCTATGAGTTTTGTCAACTGGAACAACGGAATTAGCCGAAAATAGGGCTTAAAGTGGGCGAAATTGCCGATTTGTAAATATCTCTGAGGTCGCTAACTTCGCGAGAGCATAATTCCATCAGTTTTCCATCAAATTTTGTTTTTTTGATGTCATTACAATCGGGAAAAGATTCTCTATCATTTCATACGAAAAAAATTATTATTTTTTTTTTTAAATTTTGCGACACCAGGAGACACCTCAGGATTGGGGGTTGCGACAGTCAAGGGGTTAAAGAGGGCCTTGGTATAACCATTATCCCAAACCTGCACACTAACAGAATAACATCAGCACCACAGGTTAAGCTTGCAAACAAGAGTAGCATTCAGAAACTTATAAAAAGACACATTAAAAACTCACTTTACTTTATATGTGCAATCTTTTTCTTGACAATGATCCAGAACAAACCAAAATGTTACCCAATGTAATTGCAACAAAACAAGAAGACAAATGGAAACTGAAGAACTGAATCAAAGGGATATTAGGAAGTATACTTGAGAGTGACATAGTAGAGGACCAAATGTATAAATGTATTAAAAAATAATGATACAGTTGAGGTAGGTCACATAGTGGGTGGATCCGAAATTAAGAGATGAACCCTGGAACCAAAACTCAGCCCCCACAAATTCAGCTGCAGAAGGTAAATATAGTTAAGTGAGTGCATCTGTGTCAATACTGTATACATAGGATTTATGTAAGGCGTGAGATTTTTTATTAACACATTGTTTTTGCATAAATATGTAGCTAAGACTGTCATGGAGTCACATCAAATCATCTTTGTTGTTACCTTATATTATGCGCAAATAAAAATAATTGTATTAAGAACAAAGAGTCTTTGAAAAATATAAGTATTGCAGTTGGGCATTAGGTAAAGAGTAGAGAAGAGTGAAATGGTAATTAAATGTAGATTTGACAATTCAGTGCTAAATGATATGTTTGAAGAAGCTAAAACATTTTTTTGTACTTATATTCCCAACAGCCTACATCTCAGGGCAAGCCCATGGAGCAGTGACTGTTCCAGGTGGTATGGTACTCCAACAGGGAATTGGAAATCAGTCAGGTGTTTTCCACTACCCTGGATATGTCTATACAACTGTCTATTCCCCTGGCCAACAGCTGCAATATGTTCTTCCAACTCAACTGACATCTGAAGCAGCTGTTTCTGCTAAAAAAATGACCAAGAATTAAATGGCATGTATTTTATGTAAAGAAGTAAGAGTTCATATGAATTTGTTAGTTAATTTGAAGTTAGCTTATAGTTTATGAAACTGCAGGATGAATTATAGTAGAACCACAAGATAAATTATGATAATAGAGTTTTTATAAAAATGTTAGGTATATATATATATATATATCTGGCATATATAACTCACTGGTATTAAACAAGGTTAAGAAAAATGCATTTACAGAGGAAATGCAAGGGATACAAATTTATTTGGTTGTAATTTTTTCAGCCAGTATAAGCACATACTAATTTCTCAGAACAGTACTGGACACCTTCATAATCCCTACCTCAGTGAAATAATTAATCAACCATACTAGCAATATAAAAATTTAATGTTCACCCTAACTCTCAATATTTCATAGATCTTTACTTCAGTATAAGTATAGCTCTCTCCAAGCACTGTAGTCCAGGCACATTCTGTTGAATTCCTCTTGATGTAATTCTCTAACTCTTGTCCTGTATAAAATAATCTGGTTTCAATGACATACTTCAAAAGGAGGCCTTTATTAGTATAACATTTCACTTAACATGAGGCCTTATATAGGTGAAACATTGTACAAATAGTCTCTCTTTTGTTTTATGTCTTTATAACTACACTTATCGGCTACACCATACATAAAGTAATGTCTCAGACTTTGTTAGATAGCAAGAACTCAGATTCTTCTTTGACTAGGCATCCATAAAGTAATAGTTTATTGTAAAACAACAATATAGTAATATGTTATCTTTGAGGAAAAATTTATGTTTTGTTACCTGACCATGACTTTCTATTACATATTACTAAAAAACAAACATGATCTGCAACACAAATAAATTTTAAGCAAATCCAAGGCTCTGCAACAAACAAATTGAATTACTGTTGAAGTATTTATTACTAATTAGAGAAAAAAGCATTGAGAACACAGATAACCTTAGAGCTCAGTATTGAACCCAAAATCTAAAAAGTTTCAGATTTCTCAGAAAATAAACAACACTGCTGTTGTATCTCAGAATTTCAGAGTAGGATTGCATGAAGTCAGTTGATGGTATTTTTTGTGGTATATTAGGTGACTGATTCTTGCATGGGGACACCATGTGTGATTGGCATCTGTGGGATTTGATACTTTTTCTTTAAGTTTCTAAAGCTTTAGTCACTAAATAGAACAATGTGAGGGGTTTACTATTTTCTAGTATTAAGAGTTTGAGACCTTTGTATCTTAATTTATTTGTGGTATACTAGCATAGTAAAATCATTTCTGTTTGATATACAGCAGATACAGTATTGTGATGTATTGAAAGTTATACATTCTTCTTGGAAAATTAGGTTGATTGTTTTAAAAATGATGTACTGGAAGGTTCTTAAGTACAGTTAGCTCTCTTACCAAGCTCCTTTATATAGTGTGATTTTCTGTAAATGAGATGAAAAACTACATCCAAAGTTTAACAGCACTTAGAAAGGCCTTCACAGTATGTGCTGTTTAAGTTTGGATGCACTTCTTCAGTTGCATTTACAAAAAATCACTGTATATATATATATATATATATATATATATATATATTATATATATATATATATATATATATATATATATATATATATATATATATATATATATATATATATATATATAGGAGAGCTTACTGTTGTAGTAGAAGGACATTGAATCATAATTCTTGACACAGTGCACTGTGGCATAGTCACAGATCACAGCTAATTGAATAGTTCAACACAATTCGAAACAGTCCACTATGTTGTGTAGTTTCTGAGTGCCTTAATCTTAAAAATCTTTACAACATAAATTAAATTTAAGGAAAATTTGTTTGAGTACATAATGAAAATCAGAAGACTATGAAAAAAAAAAAAAAAAGGTAGGTTGACAGAATTGGACATCCAGTGAAGGTGTCTATATTTTGACACTTCATACATTGCTGTTGGTGAAATACCCTTTCTCTGGTAGTCCCAGAAATTGAAAATTTGTGTGGTGTTTGTAATGTTTAACTAGTTTTAATGTTTGTTCATCAACATTGAGCCCATAAGGGTTTAGCATTTTTTTTGTGAGTATAATCATTTTCAGCATTGCTAGATGGTGTACTTTTTTAGTGAAAATTTCAGTGATAAAAAATGATAAAGATGAGGCACTCATATTTACTTGTTACAGAAATTGGATGGATTTAATCTCTATTGTTTCCTTGCCAATGCACTTTTAATATGTGAAGACACTGGCTTTTATGGTCACCACATTTTGTTATTCAACAGACTTTATAAAACTTTCATGAAATTATTTCCAAATTAAAACTATTTTTAGGGATAATTTATCATGAAGACATGAAATCTGTTTTCTACAAAATGTTAATGATTTCAGAGCTTTTCTAACATGGCTGGGGGGGGGGGGGAGTGCTAGGTCTTGATCTCCCTACATAACTTTTCTCTGGCTGATGTGATCAAGCACTGTCATCACTATTTTTGAACCCCTGTAATGTCTTAAGAGCCTTCACTGTGGCATTGCTCAGCTCATTCCACTTCTTGAATAATCTTATGTTGAAGAAATAGTTTCCAGTCATGCACCCTTGCACTTGTTTCATACATAGTAGAGAGCTTATCTTTACTTACCCTGTCATAATCATATTCCCTTTTGTTCTTTTCTGCAGTGACACAAGATTTAGTTCATAACGAAAGCCCTTGACTTCAGCATCAGTCTTAATATACAGTGGACCCCCGGCATACGATATTATTTCATTCCAGAAGTATGTTGAGGTGCCATTACTGAACGAATTTGTTCCCATAAGGAATATTGTGAATTAGATTAGTCCATTTCAGATCCCCAAACATACACGTACAAATGCACTTACATAATTGGTCGCATTGGGAGCTGATCGTAAAGCAGGGGTCCACTGTATATGTTTTGTATTCTATTTTCACTTTTGTTAGTAGAGGGTTCCATACTAGGAATGCATACTCAAAAATTGATTGAACATACGAGATAAAAATGGTTTTGAATTAATTTTTGTCCAGGTTCTTAAATGCCGCTCTAACGTTTGAGAGTTTAGCTATGTTGCTGATACTAATCAGTTTGTGTGTATTTCAGGTTAAAAAAAATTTACCCTGTACTTCAAAGTCCATTGGCTTCCCCACCTTGTAGACCTCTCCAAAACTTTTTTTTTTATTCTCAGCCAAGTTTGCTCATAGTGACAAATATTCTCTCGTGAATTTTTTTTTCCTATCCCTCACCAGTTTTACATTGTACAAACTCTTCCTGCATTACCTTATTTTTCCCTTCCCCTTCAAGGAAGTGCCATTAATCTCAGAAGAGCTACCTTCTTTTTCCTTGAATAGAACCTGATTACCTTCCATTTCCCAGTTGCAGTATGGCCTCTACAATAGGTTTTGCATTTCTACATTAAAAAAATAATTTATATCTGTCCTGCACTTATTTTTTTGTAGCCATAAACCTCTTTTGCACTCATTGGTATCCAAACCACAACACCTCAACCTTACCTTTTAACACCATTTTTTTTTTTTATATCTCGCCTTTCTTTTGTAGGTTCCCCATTGTCATTTATCCTTTGCGTTTATAACTTTCATTTGTCTCACTGACCTATTTTTTTTTGACACTATTGTTCTGCTTACACACACACACAAGGGCCCTGACTTATGAAGTTCTGAGTGACTGCAATTCATGCTTAAAACATCAGCACTTTATCCTTTACGAATAAGTGACTAGCACCTCCAACGGTTGGGACTATTTACTTACTAAGCAACATCTTTTGTGGTGAGCAAGACAGGATCAGCATTCAAGGTAAATACTGTTAAATATTTTATTTAATATGTACATATTGGAGAAGTTTTGTTGTGCTGTATTTGTAATTAAAAAACATATTGAGGGTTAAAATATTGTATGAAAGATCATGGGGGGGATAACTGAAATTTGTTACACTGAATTAAGGCTTGCAAATTCATTGCTCCATTTTACATTGTTTATTTGAAAATAGGTACTGAATACCAAACATTAGACTTAGGATGAATTTTTTTTTAGGGGGGGGGAATGTATTAATGTTGGGGCCCCACTATGTATATGTAGGAGGAAAAGGAGTTTTCTGCCATTGACTATTTTTTCAAATCCTTCATATCCTTATTTTTTGCATTTGCACCATTTTTATGAAATGTGGAAATGATAATGTATTCAGAACAAGTAAAAGAATTTAAAATTTTGTTAGATACCAATGATTTGCACTGCAAAATAGCTATTTGGTACTACTGACTTCATTTATTAAAAGTATAACAAATATTTTCACTCAAAAAAATTGACTACCAGTTTCTGTGATCAATATTTTTTTTATTATTATTATTTACTGTCACACTTGACAGGATGTTTAACATTTTTTAATTGCCTATTGCCTATTTGAGTATGCAAAGGGTTATGCTAAATAGTTTTAGGTCTTCAGTGTGTCCTTGTTCAGGTCATTCCACATCTTTAACAGCTGTACGAGTTTTACAATTCATGTCCTGCCATTCTCTTATTATGTCTGGTGAACGATTTGAGTAAATGAACTCAAGACTTGCAAAACTAAAAATGCATTTCCAAAAGAAGGTATTTGTAGTTAGAAAATATGCTTACAAGGAGGATACCAATTTAAGCATACACATTCTTAAAAGTAAATGAAGTACAGTACTACGAGACTGTAAATATGTGTGTAGGAAATTTTCTTGGCTGTTAACGATATTCATTGTACAATTTGTTACCTCCAAGTGTATTGCACAGTGACAACTGGAGTCCATTAAATTGAAGCACATTGCTATCGTTAGTAAAATTAATTTTTCATTGTTGGGGAAAATTTTCAGGATTTCATGTATATATATATAATGTGAATGGTATTGATTTTCTAGTATACTGTGATGCTGTATAAACTTAGTTCTTAAAATAGTTTTGAATGTATTTATACTGTAGGTGTCCAAAATTAATGATGCATTTATAGTAGAAAAAAATTCATACAAGCTAGTAAAAGTTATGAAGAAAAAAAGTTCAACTTGTGATTTTTTTGTTACCTATGTAGTACATTTGAATGTTATCAGTCAGCACTTGATCAGATTTATAAATTAAATAATCAGCAAGTGACCAACTAACTGTTCATCTCAGACAAGCTTAATAAGTCTTTCATAACATTTTTATGAGAAACAAACTAATCACATTGAATATGAGAGTACAAGGAAAATGTTGACTCATTTGCAAAGCTGAGAGAGCATAATTCAGGAAATTCTTTGGAGTCTCAGTACTTCAAATTGGGTGCCATAATGCTGGTGAAGGGTCCTTGATCCAAAGAATTTGAGCTACCATTCATTTTCTTGAATAAAACCTGATTACCTCCCATTCTCAGGTGCTATAACCCTTGCAGGTTTAGCACTTTCCACAATTAAAGTCCTGGACCAGCCTTCTACTGATGCATAGGTAATATAAATAAAGAAAAAAAAAAGGCACAATACCCAAATAACTTGCACGTAGAAAGAAACTCGACTACGTTTCAGTCCAACTCGAACCGAAATGTCATAAATTTCTTTCTCCTATGTACGGGTTATTTCTATATGAATACCCTTATAAACCAGCTTGCTCCTTCATCTTTACAAACTATTCTTGGAACAATCTGATATTTTATAAAATGTGTGTGTTGAGTTTTCATCTTAATCCAGCTGATGGAAATTAGTTCTAAATGAAGCACCTTGGATGTATATTTTTATCACTTAAATATTTTGTTGAAAGATTACTCACCTTATAATTTTTGCAATAATAAAATTAGATAAACAAATATTTGGCTCTTTTGAATATACAATATTTGTTGGTTAATATTATATTAGGAATAGTGTGGATGTTCAAAACCACATAAGCAAAAACTTATCCTAAAACAATGTAAATATGAGCTTGAGCACATGACTGCTACAATAAAAGTTACTGTTGGCAACTTTTTTTTATTTCCTTATATAAAATTTACTCATACTAGCACTATGAAATACTATTTTCCTGATGTGATAGGGATGAAAAGAAGTCGACCAAGAACTCTACTACAGTTTGATCAATAACAACTTGTTCTAACCCAGACCAACGACTGCCACTGATCCCGAATGCTCTGAGACAGAAATGGAAAACAGTCTGAAAAATACAGATCCTTATGAAAGAGGGAAAGGGCAGATGGGTAATGAACCACAGAATGTGCAGAAAAACCTGCAAGTGCATTGCCCTGAACTCCAGAATGATCAGGGACACAGCAAATGACTAGTAATTATGCTAGCCGAAGAGGCAACATGGCTAGTTTTGAATACAATGTGACGTTACCTGGAGACAAAGAAAGAAGTGGGAAGAAATATATAAGTGCGACTAACTAGACAAACAATAAGCATTCCAATATTACACTATCTGGGGTAAAAAAATAAAAATGGTGCATTTACTACACCAGGGGTTGGCAAACCATGGCCCTCTGCTTAATATTATGCAGCCTGCCAGCTGAGAATAGTTTTTTAATCTTTGTAAAACTAAAAATTTTGTTCCTAAAATAGGTTTAAAATAATGCATCCACATTTATTCCATAAAACATTTTGCATTTGTGTCCAACGTACTAATATGAACCATTTTTCAAATCTGCCTCCTGCCAATATTTTTATAACCTCAGCACAACTCTTTGGTCTCCTATCTATACATTTGAAAACAATCTAAGGCCAGCAGGGTGCACACTATGTATCATGGTTAACTACTCAAGTGATGACTGTATGCCTGATGTACTATTATGCCTGACTAGCAAAACTAAACAATGGAACCAGGAGCTGTTGTTCCACCTACTGCTTCCCTACTACCAAACTGTGTGCAAGTAGCTCAAAGATGACTTAGTCCAAATTTTTTAACACATCGGCCGTTTCCCACCAAGGTAGGGGCGCCCGAAAAAGAAAAACTTTCACTCCATCACTGTCTTGCCAGAGGTGTGCTTACAATGAAGTTATAAAACTGCAACATTAACACCCCTCCAGAGTGCAGACACTGTACTTCCCATCTCCAGGACTCGAGTCCGGCCTGCCGGTTTCCCTGAATCCCTTCATAAATATTACCCTGCTCACACTAAAACAGCACGTGAAGTCCTAAAACCCATTGGTTTCCATTCGCTTCTATTTAACACACTTCCTGGAAGTCCAAGCCCCTCGCACACAAAACTTCCTTCACCCTCCCCCCCCCCCTCCAACCTTTCCTAGGCTGACCCCTACCCTACCTTCCCTCCACTACAGATTTATACACTTTCGAAGTCATTCTATTTTGTTCCATCCTCTCTACATGTCCAAACCACCTCAATGACCCCCCTCTCAATAATAATTTTGGTAATCCCACACCTCCTAATATCCAAACTACTAATTCTCTGCATTATATTCACACAACATATTGCCCTCAGACATGACATCTCCACTCCCTCCAGCCTTCTTGTCGCAACATTCACTACTTATGCTTCACGCCCATATAAGAGCATTGGTATAACTATATTCTCATACATTCCCCTCTGCTTCCATGGGTAAAGTTCTGTCTCCACACACTTTACCTTGTCAATTCTATGATTCACCTCTTCTTTCATAGACCCATCTGCTGACATGTCCACTCCTAAATATCTGAATACATTCACCTCCTCCATACTTTCTTCCTCCAATCTTTTGCCACCTAATTTTTTTATCCTCATCACCTTACTCTTTCCCATATTCACTTTCAATTTTCTTCTGTTACATACCCTACCAAATTCATCTACCAACCTCTGCCACTTCTCTTCAGAATCTCCCCAAAAACAGCATCATCAACAATGAGCAACTGTGAGAACTCTCACTTCGTGTTCGATTCTTTATCATTTAACCCCACATCTCTTGCCAACACCTGAGCATTCACTTCTCTTAAAGCCTATGGTGACATCACACATCCTTGTCTAAGGATTACTTTTACTGGGAAATAATCTCCCTCTCTCCTACATACTCTAACCTGAGCCTCACTGCTCTCGTAAAAACTTCACTGCTTTCAATAACCTATTCCATACATTTGCAACATCTGCCACATTGCATCCCCTATCCACCCTGTCATACACCTTTTCTAAATCCATAAATGCCACAAAAACCTCTTTACCCTTATCTAAATACTGTTCACCCACGTTTCACTGTAAACACCTGGTCCACACACCCCCTACCTTTCCTAAAGCCTGCTTGTTCATCTGCTATCCTACTCTCCATCTTACTCAATTCTTTCAATAATAACTCTACCATTATACCAATTAGACTGTATATATACCATATATTCCAAATGAAACAAAGTAGGGCAAGCATTTCCCCATGCGTGAAGTGCTAACACACCTTGAAACACATTAGTATCATAAGAAATTAGTGTACACAGTGTTAAACATTAAAAACAATTAACAAAAATAATCACATCATGGCATCAATACGTAATTATAAAATGCAAACATTACTGGTGCTTTTACATAGCTGTTGCCAATAACTGATCATTTTTTCACAAACTTCAACACACCACAAAAACATAAATTTTTATCAGATTCCACTCACTGCAGTCTTATCTGATTCAGAAAAATGTACCCTATTAAAATGTAAGAATTTTTTTTTTTTTTTTTTTTCAAAACACTGCCAAGAATTTTTTTTTGTCCACTTGCCACAGCTAAGAGGTTAACTGTGTACCATCTCTGACCAGAACAGTGCATATATGGCAACACTGCACACCATCTAACCTGTCATCTGTCTATCTCCGTATTCCTTGATCTTTAGTTGCAAAAAAGAATTCCCCATTTCTCTCCGATTTGGAGAAAAATCCAATACATACGTAATCACATTTTACAATATGTATGTAATTGTATTATGATAAATACTGCAAATGTTACCTTATCTTGTATACATATCTTTAATTTTACCAAACTGTATTGGCCTTGAAGCTTGAAATATTTACATTCTGGCACATCTCTACAAAAACTGCCAACCCGTCCTACACTATTTGAGGATTTAAAGCCATTAATGTACATAACAGTAGCATGAAAGCACAACTGAAAATGCTCAAATAAGAGGAAACTGATGTCCTAGCAGAGATAAGAGACTTTGGAATGAGAAGGTAGGACACTGCAACCTCAGTATACCAGACTAATAGGAGAGAAAGGAGGTCTGATTAATTCAAAATCCATTGCATTGAAGTGCTGGGTGCAGCAGACTAGGTCCACTGCATCAATGACAATTACCCTATGGAGTGAACTTGGTCTGCTGCATCAGTGACACTACCAAGCATACTAAGAATAAACTGAACAGTACAAGAAATTATCTGAAAATAAGTTAAAATACAGAACTTTTGTGGTGGATACAGCATGCTGTGAGTGCAACTGCTGCACTTGTCTCTTGTTAACCATAAGTTCTATCAATCTGTAAATGGATCTATAGTAAGAGCTAAGGGTTTATAGCAACAATAACGACAGGTGTAACAATGGGCATTAATAATGATAGGGAAGTGGTTGCTACTATGGAATTCATTTGCCACCACCTAATCAAGGTTCAGTGATACAAAATCTGAGCAAATCAAGAGATCAATACATGGACTAAGTGTACAAGGGTCTACATGGGTTGAAGTTCCAGTAATTAAGATACAAAGATAAAAGAGTAAGAAGACTCTAGTCTTTCAATATTGCAGCAAGGAAAATGCTAAATGCAGTGAGAATGGCACATTTGAAAGTAATGTGTGGTGTGAAAACTGCACAGAGAATTCAGAGTTAAAAAAAAAAAAAAAAAAAAAATTGTGGGGTTAAGAAAGGTACAATTCAGATTGGAGGAGGAATTGATGACGATGCAGCAGAGTAAATTGATTAAGGGGTACAAGTCAATGGATGGGTAGGGGCCTGAGCATCCACTAGGCATGTGTGAGCATATTAAATTGGAGAAAGTGGAGACTGCAGTTTTCTTGGCTTGATATGCTGTCAAAGGTGAGCAAGGTAACAGTCAAGAAAGAATTAAGAAAACCAGTTAGCCAGACTAGTCCTTGAGGAGGGAAGTACAGTGCCTGCACTCTGAAGGAGGGGTGAAGATGTTGCAGTCAGCAGGAACATTTGAATTGTGATATCTATAAGCTGGTGAGACAGTTATTTTTGAATGATGATAAATGTGTTTCCATTTCTTTTAATACAATACCTTTAGTGGGAGACAGCCAGTGTGATAAAAAAAAAAAAAAAAGATCAAGATGTAGAGACTGTACTTCAGTGGGCACCAAATGACTCTTCTTAATACTCGTAAAAAACAAAACTTACTTTGCTAATACTGTTAGCCAAGTATAAAACAGTGAAAGATAATCACTAAATTCTTAAAATCAGGAAAACTGATAATGTTCTTTTTTTTTTTTAAACATAACATCTGTCTCTCACCAAAGTAAGGTGACCAACAAAAAAGAAAACAACTATCTTGACAGAATTTGCAGACATCACAATTCAAATGACTGAATAGCAACATTCCCACTCAAAGAGTACAGGCACTGTACTGCCTGCCCCTAGGACTCAAGCTCGGCTAACAAGTTTCTCTGACTCTCTTCCAGAATGTTATCTTACTCACACTCAACAATGTGTCAAGCCATAAAAATCACTTGTCTCCACTCACTGCTCTAACTTACTCACACAAGTCTGTTCCACGTTAAAGCCCTTGACACTCAAAATCTCCTTTACTGTCTCCCTCCAACCCTTCCAGAAACATCAATACCCGTTCTTCCACCACATTTATAAACTCTCTCCTCCAACCCCCCTAAATGCCCAAATTGCCTCTACAACCCCTCCTCAGCCCTCTGAATTATACCTATGGTAACCCTAGGCCTAGACTCTTCCTCACTGCAACTTCAACCTTTAAATTCTAGTATACCCAAAAATCCTATGTGCCAAAAATTAAAAAAAAAAAAAATTAAAAGTTTGAAAGAGTATGCACAGATTGTCCTGTGCATACATCATACACACCTTAAGGGTTCAAGCCCATGCATCATGCCCACACAAAAGTATTAGTACCACATTCTGAACATTTCCCATTTTGCCTCAGTAAATTTTTCTTTCCTGGGATGCCCCAACACACCACCTACCTTTTTCTCCCCCTATCTATTCTATGGCTCACCTCATCTTTCATAGGCCCATCTGTTGACATGTCCATTCCCAAATATCTGAACACATTCGCTTCCTCCAATCTGATATCTAGTCTTTCATTGCCTGGTCTCTTTGTTGCTCATCATCATCTTTGCTGATGATAAAAAATTTATTTGACAGATTTTTCTCAACTTGTAATTTCACCTAAAAAGTCTTATGCACTCAAAGTACTATACAATATGCATAAACATTATGTTAAAAAAAAAAAAAAAATTGTGTGTAATATCAAGTATTACATAAAAGATACAATTACAGTAATTGTTTTAAAAAGCAAACTATATCCCTCATACATAATACATCCGTAAATTTCTTAATTATGTATACAGTAAAAGTCTGATAAAATGGACCCCCCATAAAGTGGATGTTGGTTAAAATGGACAAAATTTGACCAGACAAAAGCTCAAAATGTACTTTTAATAAGGTGTCTGACTAAAATTGCCATGGAACAGACAAATCCACTATATCAAACAGGTATTAGGTCAGGTCGTGCATTCGATAAAATGGACTAACTCCACTTAACCCTTAAACGGTCCAAACAGATTGACGTTCAAATTCATAGTGCTCCAAAAGTAGATCTACTTTTTCTTACATATTTTCAAATATAAAAAAAAAAAAAATGTAGATAAAAGTTTTTTTACACGCTTTCAAATTAAAACAAAAAAGATCTACATTTTTTACATACTTTCAGATGTTGAAAAAAGGTATATATACGTTTGGACCGTTTAAGGGTTAATTGTAAGTTTGTATCGTCCGAGGTTCATCCTGGACACGTCCACTTTTATTGTTCCTGAGCAGTGAAGCTAACCAGTGATGGCCTGCATTACTGTCTCTGTATGCTTAAAACAGGTTTATCTCCAATTTTCCCCTGGATTTACTGTTTTTTAATTATATGATTAAAGTACTGTGTACCTTAAAAATATACTATTATTTGCTTAGCTACCTCACTTTTGTACATTTAAAAAATAATGTATCTAGTTCATAAGTAGTCTGTAAGCATTAGCATTAGTCTGCCCAAAATGCACTGTATGCTAGTGGCTTTCTTTTATGCTTAACAATATTTGACATGCAAACTACATTTTGTCATACTGCAGAATAAAGTTTTTTTGTTTTGTTTTGTTTATTGTTATTAATAATGGCCTCTAAAGCAAGTGATGGTGCCAAGAAGCATGTAACCTTAACTGTTAAGCAGAAACTTGAATCAATAAGGAAGCTGGAGACTAGTGTTTCAGTGGCCCGGGTGTGTGAGGAATGTGGAGTAGCAAAACAGTGTTTGACATTTGCAGAAGCAGGGAAAGCCTACACAATATACCATGAAGTATAGTGTAGGTGCTAGGATAAAGGGTTCTCCAGTTACTCCTGGGAAGCATTTGAAAATGGCCCAAGATACAAGGATTGAAGCAACATTGCATAAATGTTTTGTTCAACAGAGCATTGCTGGTGTTAATGTTCATTCTGTTGAGTATCAGAGTGCCAAACAATTTAAGCTGGATTCATTGTTTAAACCTGTTCCTCATTCTGCACCTCCCAAACCATCTACCAGTAAGCCTGAGTCATCTATGTCTCCTCAGCCAACTACATCACCTAAACCATCTACATCTTTCACACCATCTGTCTGTCTCTCTCTCACACTGTCTGCCATACTATTACTGAAGCTTTACAGCTTCAGCAACTCAGAATAAGTCATTCTGGGTCACCACTAGACCACATGGCAATACTGCACTGTATTGTACATCTGTAAGCTCATTTATCCACCAGAAAAGGCAAGAAAAATTACTGTATTGTGCTGTACTTTTAACCTATTTTCTTTTATGGCTTGTTTACAGGTAATACTGTATTGAACTCCAGTTTATTCTTAGCATATCCAGTATTCCATCAATACAGCAGACTAATTATGTGTTACTGGGTGTTGGTCCATGTATAATAGTTTACTAATTAAGCAAAAACATCCACTTAACTGAAGCGTTCAACATAACAGAATTTTGGGTAAATCAGACACCCACTCCCCCTATTAATCTGTTTTATTGGACCTTTACTGTATAAACTTAGTCCAAAAAAATTACAAGCTCTTGCTGAAACAAATCTATTTGAGACACAAGTGGAATTAATAGAAACAAATGATTATCTGTCCAACGTTACTTGTGATATTCCATAGCATCCTTTATGTAGGCGAGCAAATGATGGTGGTGTTTGGTGTCTGGGATCAGGTGGGTAATGGGGCCCTTGGTCCCCAACATACACGTATGGAAGACGAAGAACCCAGTAAGCCGATGCGGAGAGCTTGACTGGTAGAGAGCTGCATGGCTGAGGAATGTAGCGAGGGCAGGGGTCTGGACCAGGCTGTACTTGAGGGCTCAAGGTTACATTTACTGGGGCTTTGGGTGTTACCACATGAAGACGCATCAGTTGACCACCACCTCGGCTACCAAATAAATAATAGAAATAAATCATGAAGTGCTGTACCATTTTTAATGTAAAAGAAGGATGAAATACTTGAACTAACATGAAAGATTAGCCTTTGTACTTATAAAGAAAACATAAAACCTCACTTTAATGGATTCTGGATTTAACAGGCAAACTCTGCCATCAAACATCTGGAAAATGACTAACAAAGTTTGTTAAATCCAGAATTATATGTTACTGTTACAGTCTGCTGGGTAAAAATTTTTATTAATAGACAAAATCTGAAATCCAGAATTGTTAGCTCATTACAATCACTGAAAAACAATCTCATCATTCAGATTTACTTGACAAACAACAGTAATGGACACCTGTTTTCCCCAGTATTTTAATTATTTACAAAAAATAAAAAAATAATTTTACCAGAGCTTAATCATTGTCTGATTTGAATAATATGATTTCAAAAATCTGTATTTACAATGATTAATATTGAGAGATCTGAATAATATAAGTAATGATAAATAAGTCACCCTGCCCTGGTGGGATACGGCAGTTTGTTGAATAAAACAAAAAAAAGCAAGTATTCACAAGTGAAACAAACCTGCATGGACATGGGAAGTAAAGTGGCATGTCAGCATTGGCAATCTTTGTTGCATTGTCTTTGACTAAGCCTGATGGAGAGGCCTTGAGGTGACGGTCAGGCGTAGCCATCATGAACCTGTGTCCTCTCACACATTCATATTCCACCCCAAGAAATATCTTCACGCTAAATTCGTGGATATCTAAAAATGTGCAAAAAGAATTAATTATTAGTATTTAATCTTTATGCTGTTTTCCATTTTGACCCACTTAAGAGAAATGCCTAATGCTTAAAGGCTTTTAAGCTGAAGAATTCAAGCTACCCTCCCCTTCCTCAGATCAAACCTGACTGCCTCCCATTCCCCAAATGCTGTATGACACTTACAGGTTTAGTGCTTCACCATACCAACACTTTTAGAAAAATAAATACACTGTCATAAAGCAAAAGAAAGAAATATAGAGCTAGCATAATGTTTGAATACAGAAGTGGATTCTAAAGAGAAGTTACCCTGTAAGAGAAGAATTACTTCACATAAAGTACTGAAGAGCAAAGACACATCCAGCAAACCCTAGATTTATTGGACATCAGAAATACAGGACAAAATCAGACAAGTCAACCAGTATGGAAACCTCAGACAGTCTGTATTGTTAGTGACAGCAAAACAATTTCACCTCTCCACCACAACTGTCATTGCCAGCCACCTGCACTCCTTTAATTATTCCAGTAAATTGAGGATTCACTGCAGAGTATTTACATAATTCAGATAAATACTGTATAAACAGTACTGATTTGATTTGTTCCTCTTGCCAGTTGAAAAAAAATTAATAAAAATGTTCTCATGACTCACGAAATCGTAATGACACAAATGAATGGTTGGTTTAATTCCGTGGTATTATTAATATAAATGTTTGCCAGCCTGCTTATTGTGAAACTGCAAAGACTGGTCTAAAACATAATATATGCAGTTCAACCCCAGCCATCCTATATTTCCAATTCAGGATAATTATGCAAATTCATAAAAAATATACTACATATTAAATACTGACTAAAGGCATTATGGTTCAGTAAATAACAAATAATTATTATTTTGTTCATGAGAAATTTGCTAATCCTGCCAAGATCATTCAGGACTATTGAAGATATGAGTAACATCATGACAAGTTTTTAAAAAAATATTCATACTAATGAAAATTCATAAATATTTCTACTCTCTCAAAAGCCACATTATTCTCAAATGACTCACCTCCCACTCTATTTTTCTTATTTTTGAGAAGCAGTGCTTTTTTACCGAGGGTATCCGCAATGGCTGGCCACTTGTCTCTGTCTTCTATTTTAATAGTAACATCCCATGGCAGGAGAAAATTAGTGCCTGGCAAGAAACCTGGTTGTTCACAGATTCCTGAAAGAAAATACATTACAATAATTATTATATTCAAAGTATCAGTACGCATATTCAACTGAGAAAACAGTAATAAGAAATGCTTCTTTACAAGATTTATGCAGTAGGCATCATAAATATGCACATACTTCAATAGATTACACAGACAGTGAGACTGCTCACCATACTCTATTGTTTTTAAATACATAATGCTGAAATATATATGTTTCTCACCTAAACTAGAATTCTGTAGGGCTACCCTTCTCTCAATGCACTCCTTAAATCTCCTAGGCACTGATAAGACTAACTTATGGAGGACAGAAAAGTCAATACCCTCCCACCCCAAAATCTCAAGTATTTAACAGTACTTGAGATTTTGGGGTCAGAGGACTCATCCAGGCAACAAAGCTAATGCTTAGTAAGTTTCCAAATGCTCTCTACTTGAGTCCAGTGAGTTTCTGAGTTAGTCATTAAAGTATGGAAAAATCACAATAATATGGCCAACTCTAAATTTAGGCCTTTGGCAGTAGTATGTTACCATACCACTTTCTTACAAAAATTGTTCTGGTGCTTCTCAAATCCATCAGGCAAATAATCTGCTAAAGGCATACTTATGGGCATGCACATTTATGACACCTACTCTATACAGATACATCAATCGAGTTTTCTTTTTTTGTATATTTTAATGGAGTCTGCATAAAAAATTGCTAGAGGGGTAATTTGTATAATACAAGAACCTTGAATAACTGACTCCTTGTAATTTGCCAAAGACAGTATTTCACTATAAAGAACATTATGTTTGGTAGTAAAAATACACACTAAAATATGAATAATAACAATATCATCAGTAAAGACACACCAGCATTATGAGAATATAGTGATGAAGGACCAAGGCAACACAAAGACCAGGATGACCATCGCGGAAGCAATCCAGGAGGAGAGGCTGTGTGAAGCATCCCTGGTAGGTACTCTGTTGTTGAGGCTTGCCGGATTATCCCACGATCTGTTAAGAACACTCGTAAAGGTCTAATTTTTTATATCACTTCCATCCATCATAGATTTGTACACCTTATTTGCCAACCTACCTAGCACCATTCTTTGTAACTAATCAACCAATCTCAACAATCCCACTTTTGCTCTTTGAATTAAACTCAAATTTATGCATTCCTCATTTTCTGTACAATACTCGCAACATGCAATGATTTCCGGCATGACATTTCCACTGCTTCCAGTGTCCTCCTTTCTGTAGTATTCAAAGGCTATACAAAATTGTTGATTCCACTATGGTCTGAGTATCATTAATCATTTGGGAGCATTAAACTCGTAGACTATGACCCAATACACTCCCAGTTTTGTAAGGATTGAGAAGTTTCTTTCCATACACTCCCTAACACTTCTGTGACTCCCCACCCCCTTCCCTTTCTTGTGAGACTTAGCTCATCATTCATAAACCTGTCTACATCCACTATTAAGCATCTAAATACATTCATTCAATCTAAACTAGCATTTTGTCTTCTAAGTTTTCATTCTCTATAGTGTACTTAGTTTCATCACCATTTTATTTCTGTGAAATGCTCATGAAATTTTTTTTTTTAACACATTGGCTGTTTCCCACTGAGATAGGGTAACCCAGAAAGAACTGCCAATATCCTAAACCCCTCCTTTAAAGTGCAGGCACTGTACTTCCCATTCCCAGGACTCAAGTCTGGCTAAAGTTTTCCTGAATCCCTTCACAAAATATTACCCTGCTCACACTCCAACAGCTCATCAGGTCCCAAAAACCATTCGTCTTCATTCACTCCTATTTAACACGCTCATGTGCGCTTGCTGGAAGTCCAAGCCCCTCGCCCACAAAACCTCCTTTACCCCATCCCTCCAACCTTTTCAGGGATGACCCCTACCCCAGCTTCCTCTCCCAATAGATTTACACCCTCTCAAAGTCATTTTACTTTGTTCCATTCTGTCTAAATGACCAAACCACCTCAACAGTCCTTCTTCAGCCCTCTGACTAATACTATTAATAACTCTACACCTCCTCCTAATTTCCACACTACGAATTCTTTGCATAATATTTACACCACACATTGCCCTTAGACACGACATCTCCACTGCTTCCAGCTGCTTCCTCGCTGCAGCATTTACAACCCATGCTTCACACCCATATAAGAGTGTTGGTACCACTATACTCTCGTATATTTCCTTCTTTGCCTCCATGAATAACGTTCTTTGTCTCCACAGATACCTCAATGCACCACTCACCTTTTTTTTTATGACAAGCAATAGATAATATAACTACAGAATTGACAAAATTGTTTAAAATTTTTTTAAGTTAAATGTCACTGTCTCTATATGATATACATGTATGTGTACAGTTAAAAAAAAAATATGAGGTTATGTACTGTACTAGACATAATTATTAAACAGGATAATAAGTGACCCAATAGCATAACATATACAGTGGACCCCCGCATACCGTTGGCATCACATAACGTTAAATCCGCATACCGATACATTTTATCACTAAGATTTTGCCTCGCATACCGCTTAGAAACCCGCTCAACGCTATTCGTCCGAGACGCGTCTAATGTGCGGCCTGAGCCAGCCTCACATGTTCCGCCGGTGGCATTGTTTACAAGCCAGCCTCCGCGGTAACATCCAAGCATACAATCGGAACATTTCGTATTATTACAGCGTTTTTGGTGATTTTATCTACAAAATAAGTGACCATGGGCCCCAAGAAAGCTTCTAGTGCCAACCCTGTGGTAAAAAGGGTGAGAAATATTATCGAAATACTGTGGTACCATGGTCAACTGCTGATGCTGCTGCTGCTGTAGCACTGTCAGCTGCTGATGCTGCTGCTGCTGAAGCACTGTCAGCTGCTGCTGCTGCTGCTGCTGTAGCACCATCTGCTGCTGCTGCTGTACCACCGTCAGGTTCTGCTGCTGCTGTAGTACCGTCTGCTGCTGCTGTAGCACCGTCTGCTGCTGTAGCACCGTCAGCTGCTGCTGCTGCTGTAGTACCGTCTGCTGCTGCTGTAGCACCGTCAGCTGCTGCTGCTGCTGTAGTACCATCTGCTGCTGCTGTAGCACCATCTGCTGCTGCTGTAGCACCGTCTGCTGCTGCTGTAGCACTGTCAGCTGCTGCTGTAGCACTGTTAGCTGCTGCTGCTGTAGCACTATCAGCTGCTGCTGCACTGTCAGCTGCTGCTGCTGCTGTAGCACTGTCAGCTGCTGCTGCTGCTGTAGCACTGTCAGCTGCTGCTGCTGCTGCTGTAGCACTGTCAGCTGCTGCTGCTGTAGCACCATCAGCTGCTGCTGCTGCTGTACCACCGTCAGCTGCTGCTGCTGCTGTAGCACCATCTGCTGTTGCTGTAGCACCATCTGCTGCTGCTGTAGCACTGTTAGCTGCTGCTGCTGCTGCTGCTGTAGCACTGTCAGCTGCTGCTGCACTGTCAGCTGCTGCTGTAGCACTGTCAGCTGCTGCTGCTGTAGCACAGTCAGCTGCTGCTGCTGCTGCTGTACCACTGTCAGCTGCTGCTGCTGCTGCTGTAGTACCGTCTGCTGCTGCTGTAGCACTGTCAGCTGCTGCTGCTGTAGCACTGTTGTTGGTGTGGCTTATTGAGAATACCAAGAAACAATTAACCCCAGAGGGTTAGCCACCCAGGATAACCCAAAAAAGTCAGTGTCATCGAAGACTGTCTAACTTATTTCCATTGGGGTTCTTAATCTTGTCTCCCAGGATGCAACCCACGCCAGTCGACTAACACCCAGGTGAACAGGGAAAAATGCCTGGAACTAGTGCTCATATTGGTGAATTTAAAGCCAGCAAAGGTTGGTTTGAGAGATTTAAGAATCGTAGTGGCATACACAGTGTGATAAAGCCTGTTCTGGAAGAAAATGCCAAACAGGACCTACAGTACTCAGGAGGAAAAGGCACTCCCAGGACACAGTGTCTCATCAGTCATTGCTGCATCTTCAATAAAGGTAAGTGTCATTAATTCTTCATTTAGTAGAGTAGTACATGCACAATATATATTGTGCATGTACTACTCTACTATTGTGCATGTATCCTTCTCTTTGTGTGTAGGAAAATGTATATTTCATGTGGTAAAATTTTTTTTTTCATACTTTTGGGTGTCTTGCACGGATTAATTTGATTTCCATTATTCCTTATGGGGAAAATTCATTCGCATAACGATAATTTCGCATAACAATGAGCTCTCAGGAACGGATTAATATCGTTATGCGGGGGTCCACTGAATATTTTTTTTAACAACGGCCATCTCCCGCCAAGGAAGGGTGACCCAAAAAAGAAGAAATGTAAAGTTTTCTTTTTACACTGAATAATAGTGTACCATATATCCTACTTCTATATGAGATACATGTAGAGTTTGAGGGCATGAACTGTCTTATAGATACAAACACTAGTGTCAATTAATAATGCATAAAAAAAATGGCAATTTTCTTTGTACCTTAGGTAGATAACAATGTCCTAAAGTGTGATTTACCTTTAGTGATGGCCTTGGTATCATCTTTTGTAAGGGTAATGACAACCTGGGAACCCATGTGACTTTGTTCCCCTGTCATGCGTGTTGCAACTGTTCCTGTGGCATTGTTCATACTCCCACTAAGACCAGTTCCAACTAAACTGAGACCTGGAGAGTGAGGCGTTCCAGAGTCTATTTGCTCACGACTGTCTCGACTCACTGCACTGGGACCCTCAATTTCCATTTCATTATCTTCGGACCCATCCACTTTTGCAGCTGTGAAAAATGCATACATCTTGTTAGAGCATTATATTATTTTCTATATATTTAACATTACTGTCTTGGATAAATCTTGTAGATGAATGGTTCACAGAACCGACACGTTGATAAATTAGACATGTGCAACTCTTGGGTATCTTTATTAAGGAAACGTTTCGCCACACAGTGGCTTCATCAGTCCATACACAGGAGAAGCTTGAAGAATATGTGGAGAATGAGGTAATCAGTCCCTCAACCTTGAGTCGATGTGGTCAGTCCATCAATCTTGATGGACTGACCACATCGACTCGAGGTTGAGGGACTGATTACCTCATTCTCCGCATATTCTTCAAGCTTCTCCTGTGTATGGACTGATGAAGCCACTGTGTGGCGAAACGTTTCCTTAATAAAGATACCCAAGAGTTGCACATGTGTCTAATTTGGATAAATCTATTTCAAGAAACTACATTATTTCATAGGTTTGACAGGCTTATAAATACTGCACTGTGCATGAATAAATTGAAAAAAAATTAAAGTTACACAAGCACTTTTTTTAGATTTTCTGACTAAAACTAAACTTTTTCCTACATAACTACACTTTTAATTTTGCTTATACTGCATTATATTTTATTGCCTGTATATTACTGGACCCCAACATATGATAAACCACAACTCGGAAGGGAGCAAAGTGAGGGGGCCTGTTGTTGCCAAGTATAGGTGCTCCTCAACTTCGATGGTTCAACTCACGATATTTCTCTTTATGATGGTTCAAAAGCAATTACTTTGGAGATGAAACTCAAGTTAATTACCCAGCATGAAGGCGGTAAGTCCGTAACTTGTATACATTTTTTTTTGCATTTAGCTAGTTACTCAGTGACAATAGTTATTTACTTATTTATTTAGCGTACATTTTCGACTTACGACATTTTTGACTTATGATGGGTTCATCAGAACGTATCCCCATTGTAAGCTGAGGAGCACCTGTATGTACATATCAATATTTGAAAAAAGTGGCAGGATCTCCTGAGCTACAAGTCTGTCTTCCTGACAAAGAGCTGTGAAATTAAAGGAAAAACTCTTTCTTGAAATATGGATACTTTGAACAAAAATCTAAAATCTGCTTCCCAGTATTAGCAAATAGTTTGGTTTTCAACCTGCAAATTCATATCCATTATCATATCTATTAAGTTGCTATGATAATTACACAAATTATTCACAAATAAGACTTGATTTTGGAAAGAGGTAAGTACAGTACCTGCACTTTGATGGATGGGTGGAAATAATGTAGTTTGGAGTCATCTGAATTGTGATATCCATGCACTACTGGTAAGATTGCTATTAAACGTTTCTTCTTCGGGTCACCCTATCTTGATGGAATGGCTAATGTGATAAAAATTATAAAAAAGAAGTATGGGCAGACTTCATTTATTGAAATTATAGGAAAGCTTACAATAGAATTCGTGAAAAACAATTATGAAACTGCAAAACTTAGAGGGAATAAAACAGAAATTATTTCAACGGATGAAAGATTTTCTGTTTGAAAGGAATATACGAACAGTGATGCAAGGCAAAATGTCTTCAGAGGCAAAGACACATGACAGGATGACACAAGGATCAGTGTTTGTCACAACATTACACACCTGTGATCAGTTTTAAGTGGTTTTCCACCCTTGCAGCCTAGCCTTCCTTGCTGTTCAATCAGGCTGTTTCTAATGTAAATAAATGACTTAGTAGATGGAATTAAAAAGGATACTGTATATCATGAAAATGTTAGAAGATAATGCAAATACAGTATCTTATGAAATGTAACATTAACAATATACACTCAGAAGCCACTTTATTAGGTACTGGATAGACCCCCACTATGTCCCCAGAACAGCCTGAATTCTTTGTGTCATGGATTCAACAAGGTGTTGAAAGCATTGCATAAGAGATCCTGGTCCATATTGCTATCATGATAGCATCATGCAGTTGCTGCAGATTTGTTGGTTGAACATTCATACTGCAAATATCTTGTTCTACCACATCCCAAAGGTTTATGCCAAATTCTCAGACTAGGCAATGTTTCACCAATCTTCAACTGTCCAGTTTTAGTGAGCCTGTGCTCATTGTAGCTTCGAATATGGTGGTGAAAAGAAAAAACTGAGCTATGATATACACTGACCCATATGGGAGGCTGTTTATTTTACATCCATTCACCCTCCCTTACACCCTCCTCTATGCCACTGAAACAACTCCTCTATGCCACTGAAACAACTGAGTTGTCCAATGCATAGTGTTGGGTCTCCTGCCTGCCTGCTGTGGCACTCCTTAATGGAATGCATGTTTCAACAGAAATTAATTCTTCTCTGGTGTGCCTTAATGCAACTAAGCATGCTTCAATTGAACTGAAAAACTAAATCGAAATTGCATAATACTGACAACCTAAGGTTTTCCACTGTACGTATGCATAAAATTGAAGTGCTTTTATTGAGCTTGAAATTCATTTATTTGTTCAGTATTTTTTTTTTATTAAAGCACTTACTCAGACAGGATGGGACTTACACAGGTGACAACAAGGAAATGAGTGAAATATTGAAATCCCAGTACGACTCTGTGTTTAGTGAGCCACTAATCGGTCTGAGGATCGACGACCCAAATGATTTCTTCATGAATGAGCCTCAAAACTCCATAAATGTATGCCAGATTTCCGACATTACCCTAACTCTGATAGATTTTGAAAAAGCCATTGACAACATGCCCATGCACTCAAACCCGGGCCCAGACTCGTGGAACTCTGTTTTCATTAAGAACTGCAAGAAACCCCTCTCGCGTGCCCGAAGTACACTACGGAGGAGGAGCTTGGACATGGGTGAAATTCCACAGTCACTTAAAACAACGGATAAAGCCCCACTCCATAAAGGTGGCAGCAAAGCATTAGCTAAGAATTATAGACCAATAGCTCTGACATCCCACATCATAAAAATCTTTGAAAGAGTGTTAAGAAGCAGGATTGCAAATCACCTGGATTCCCAAAATCTGCACAATCCAGGGCAACATGGGTTCAGGGCAGGTTGCTCCTGCCTCTCACAACTACTGGATCACTATGATATGGCCTTGGATGCACTGGAAGAAAATCAGAATGCAGATGTAATATACACAGACTTTGCAAAAGCATTTGACGAATGCAATCATGGCGTAATAGCCCATAAAATACGTGCTAAAGGAATAACTGGGAAAGTGGGGAGATGGATCTTCAACTTCTTAACAAATCGAACACAAAGAGTAGTGGTCAACAGAGTTAAATCGGAGGCTGCCATAGTGAAGAGCTCTGTTCCACAAGGCACAGTACTCGCCCCCATCTTATTCCTTATCCTCATATCAGACATAGACAGAGATATACATCACAGCACCGTATCATCCTTTGCGGATGATACTAGGATCTGCATGAGGCTGTCATCTGCTGAGGACGCGGTTAACCTCCAAGAAGATATAAACAAAGTTTTCCAGTGGGCAACAGTAAACAATATGATGTTCAATGAGGACAAATTCCAACTACTCCGTTATGAAACACTGGAGGAGATAATAACTAGAACAGAGTATACTACAGACTCTGGCCATACAATAGAGCGGAAAAATAATGTAAGGGACCTGGGAGTAGTAATGTCTGAGAATCTCACTTTCAAAGACCACAACAGTGCCACGATCGCACGTGCAAAGAAAATGATAGGATGGATAATGAGAACGTTCAAAACGAGAGATGCCAAGCCAATGATGATCCTTTTCAAATCACTTGTTCTCTCTAGGCTGGAATACTGCTGTACATTAACATCTCCATTCAAAGCAGGTGAAATCGCAGATCTAGAGAGTGTACAGAGATCCTTTACTGCACGTATAAGTTCTGTCAAGCACCTTAACTACTGGGAAAGCTTGGAAGCACTTGACTTGTACTTGTTGGAACGCAGGAGGGAGAGATATATCATAATCTACACTTGGAAAATCTTGGAAGGAATGGTCCCAAATCTGCACACAGAAATCACTCCCTACGAGAGTAAAAGACTGGGCAGGCAATGCAAAATGCCCCCAATAAAAAGTAGGGGCGCCATTGGTACACTAAGGGAAAACACCATAAGTGTCCGGGGCCCAAGACTGTTCAACAGCCTCCTATCAAGCATTAGGGGAATTGCCAATAAACCCCTGGCTGCCTTCAAGAGAGAGCTGGACAGATACCTAAAGTCAGTGCCGGATCAGCCGGGCTGTGGCTCGTACGTTGGACTGCGTGCGGCCAGCAGTAACAGCCTAGTTGATCAGGCCCTGATCCATCGGGAGGCCTGGTCATGGACCAGGCCGTGGGGGCGTTGATCCCCGGAATAACCTCCAGGTAACCATGAAGAACTGTACCAAGATGGCCAAATAAGAATCACTTAAATCTTTTTTAATACATCAGCCATCTCTCACCAAGGTAGGGTTACCCCCCAAAAAGAAGAAATATTTTTTACTGTTATTCATACAATCACTAACATGTCATACCATATAGGTAGGTGAGTAAATTTTATGATAAAGATTACACTGCACATAGAATGGATACTGGTTACAACCTGTACAACCATTATATTTAAACTCTAGTATAGAGAACTATCAGCAAATTAAAATCAGATAAGTCTATGTTTTACTCAATTTCCAACCTTTAGCATTGGTGACACTTGGTTTGAATGTTGGGAAATGTAAAGATTCGAGTCGAGAACAGCAAGACTCTGCCAACTGCTGATAGAAAGTGTGGTTCGCAGTTTTAACGGAGAAAGAGTCTTCACGCTGGCCTTGCCGCCGTCCACAATTACAAAAACTGATGTAAACTACGCCAGAATTGTGGGTCATAACAGGCAGTGAGCTGAGTGTAGAAAACTTAGTATTAAATGTGATTTTCCAGTATTACCAAATAATGCTGTTATTAATAAAATTAAATACATTATCTATTTGACCATATATTTACCCCTAAAAACATTAAAGAACATTGTTAAGTTACACATTAATAAATCTAAAAGTACAGTAATGTACTATATCATTCACTTAACTTTTCTATCTATAATGTGTGTATAAGACAGTCCACTGGCTGTGTGTGTGTGTGTGGGGGGGGGCTGGTTGCAACTTGGTTTAACACTTTCACTGTCTTCACCCCCAAAATTAAGTGCTGACAGCGTTGCAGTTCAAAAAAAATCTCATATGATAGAGAATCTTTTTCTGAGGCTATAATGCCAAAAATACAACTGATAGAAAACTTAAGGAATTACAGAGGCACAAAGTTGGCAGTCTGGGTGTAATTTAAGCATTAGCAATTTTGCCCACTTTTAATCCTAAGCCAATTCCACTGTTTACTTTGACTAAATTCTTATCTATTTTGCTAAGAAATTAGTTGAATCGATAGCGCACAAGAAACCACCCGTTCAGTTATCAGAACTACCCTATAAAGTGCATAGAAGTCAGTAATATGGCCAATTTTACACAAAATTCAACAAACATCAATTTAAAAAGAAAGTTCAAAATAAACACAATGTATTCCAGCCACTTAAGTAACTTATCCTCTGTTCATAATCACATCCCCATGCATCTCATATTGTACACTTGCCCTCCATTTTGAATCCATTATTACACAAAAAAAAAAAATCAAAAGTTTTTACTTTATTTCTTAGATAAAACAAACCAGGGAAAAGGCGAGATCATTCTACCGACATAAACTTATTCACTTACAGACAAATAAACTGGGGAGCTCTTTTTCCAATGCTATCCCATAATGAACGAGAGATTTGTTATGTACAAACTTAATAAGAACAGATACACTGTACACTGATGAAAGACTATTTGAATAGTCTCTCACCTGTCATCATCTGGATCATTAGGAGTTCGGTGTCTTGGATGTTTGCAAGTGTTGCCTGTGAGAGATAATGTCTCACAACCCATCCGGCCATCTTGCCAAATCCGTTCACAAGCTTCCTCTAACTGAGTTACATAGTCCTCGTACATCGGCCCACGAGCTTGTGCACTTAGCACATTCAGAGCCAAATCCAGCTGTAGTCATGAATAGTGTTGTTATTTATAAATGAGGTAGAATCTTAATTTTATTTTTGGACTAATACAAGCTAATAACAAAATATTATATAAATGGAATCTTATGTATGTTTCAACCATTTTTAATCACTTGAATATCAAAACAGATATTACATAAAAAGTGGAGATGTTTTATTTGAGGGCATTGGATTTTGTGAATATTATCCAGAGAATTTGGAGCATGGAGATCAGAAGGTGTAGGATTTACTAAACTTAAAAGTCAGAGGGCTGAGGAGGGTTTTTTGAGGCAGTTGGGGCATTTAGTGAAGCTGGAGCAAAACTGAATGACTAGGAGTGTATATAAATCTGAGGTGGAGGGAAGGAGGGACAAAGGTTGTTCCAGTAAGTGTTGTAGAGAAAGGGTAATGGAGTTTTGAGGGCTAAGGGCTGAACATCCAACACATCTGTGCAAGCATGTTACAAGTGGATTGAGTTTATGAAACTATTGGAATGTGAGCAAGGTAACAGCAATTCTGGGAAACCAGTTAGCCAGGCTTGAGTCCTGGAGGTAATACTGCTGACATCCTCGCCCCTTCTTTAATTGGTTGCACTAAGGAGGGGCAAAGATTTTCCCAGTTCAAAGGGCCATCTGAACTGTGATGTCAGCTTCACCCAGTCAACAACCATCATATCTGTCTCCATAATAGTAGTGTGTATATCCTTCTGTCTGTTATTCAACAAGACAAACACTTAGGCTAGTGAAAAAAAATGTTAGTCAACACATAGGGCTTGGCCTAGTACTAGGTTGTATAGCAGACCTGACAAATCTGCACACTGAAATAATTCTTTACCAAGAATGGGATGAACAGTAGATGCTGCAAAGATGCTGTAGCCTTAATTAAAGACAGGGTTCAGTAAGTACAATAAGAGATCACTCACATAGAAAAAATTACTAAGAGACATATATTCCAGAAAAAACTTGATAACTTCCTGCAAACTTTTATTGATCAGCTGGTCTTTGATGTAAGCATCAGATGAGCTATATGTTACAGTAAGTGGGGTATTTATGAATGCATCTCCCTTACAAGTTCTGATGATCTTCTCCTTTCAACAAACCGGCCATATCCCACCGAGGCAGGGTGGCCCAAAAAGAAAAACAAAAATTTCTCTTTTAAAATTTAGTATTTTATACAGGAGAAGGGGTTACTAGCCCCTTGCTCCCGGCATTTTAGTCGCCTCCTACAACATGCACGGCTTATGGAGGAAGAATTCTGTTCCACTTCCCCATGGAAAACAAGTTCTGATGTTTACCATAAATAAATCAATACCTTTATTAAATTACAGATATTATCTTCAACATCCAAAATTTGCCAGTCTGCTACCCCACAGAAATTTGTCCTTTTAAACATATTTTAACTTTCTACTAACCTTTTCTTGATGATGCATCTGAGTATAGTGAGGAGGAAGACCATCTTTATATGCAGATATTGCTAATGGCAATGCTTTGGCACATCGAGCATCACTAAAACGAACTTCAGTCTCTACTAGATTTTGCAAACTACCCAAAATCTGGAACGAGAAAATACTGCACTGGACTTTCTTAATTGAAAACGTACTTTCAAATTACCAAATTTCCATAAAAAATGCAAATATTAATGAAAGTTTATCTTTAAGGCTGATTATATCTTAAAACATTTTATATCAATACCTTTTGAAATATCTATGACAAATCTTGTGTAGTGAAACACAAAAAGCATTATGTTTTGCAATATGAATGGGAAGTTGTACACTTCACTTTTAAAGTGTATTATAAATGCACAAAATCCAAATCTAAACACACAAGAAACTTGCCTGCTTTACTTTTGTGTCTTTCTCAGAGGGCTCTCCCATGAAGAACTTGTACACTCTATTGACAGCGTCAAACCAAACACCAGCCCGGGGTACCTGAAAGTTACCATATATGACTGGGAAATCTTATTTTATTTATTTATATTGTAACTACATACTTGATTTCAGACCCACATTACAGAAAAGGCATATGATAGGGTGGATAGGGGGGCAATGTGGCAGATGTTGCAAATGTATGGAATAGGAGGTGGGTTATTGAAGGCAGTGAAACGTTTTTACGAGGATAGTGAGGTTCAGGTTAGAGTATGTAGGCGAGAGGGTGAATATTTCCCAGTAAAAGTAGGTCTTAGACAGGGATGTGATGTCACCATGGTTGTTCAATATATTTATAGATGGAGTAGTATGAGAAGTGAATGCTCGGGTGTTGGCAAGAGGGGTGGGGTTAAAAGATAAAGAATCCAACAAAGTAGGAGTTGTCACAGTTGCTCTTTGCTGATGACACTGCTTTTGGGAGATTCTGAAGAGAAGTTGCAGAGGTTAGTTGATGAGTTTGGTAGGGTAGGTAAAAGAAGGAAGTTAAAAGTGAATATAGGAAAGAGTAAGGTGATAAGGATAAAAATATTAGGTAATGGTAGATTGGATATCAGACTGGAGGGAGAGAGTATGGAGGAGGTGAGTGTATTCAGATATTTGGGAGTGGACGTGTCTGCAGATGGGTCTATGAAGGATGAGGGGAAAAAGGTGGGTGGTGCACTGAGGAGTCTGTGTAGGCAAAGAACTTTATTCATGAAAGCAGAGAGAGGAGTGTATGAGAATATAGTTATACCAATGCTCTTGTATGGGTGTATAGCATGGGTTGTGAATATTGCAACAAGGAGAAGGCTGGAGGCAGTGGAGATGTCACGTCTGAGGGCAATGTGTGGTGTGAATATAATGCAGAGAATCTGTAGTTTGGAGATTAGGAAGAGGTGTGGGATTATCAAAACTATTATCCAGAGGGCTGAGGGGTTATTGAGATGGTTTGGACATGTAGAGAGGATGGAATGAAATAGAATGACTTTGAGAGAATACAAATCTGTAGTGGAGGTAAAGCAGGGTAGGGGTAGGCCTAGGAAAGTTGGAAGGAAGGGGTAAAGGAGGTTTTGTGTGCGAAGGGCTTGGACTTCCAGCAAGCATGCGTGAGCGTGTTAGACAGGAGCAAATGGAGACAAATGGTTTTTAGGACTTGGCGTGCTGTTGAAGTGTGAGCAAAGTAACATTTATGAAAGGATTTAGGGAAACTGGCAGGCCGGACTTGAATCCTGGAGATGGGAAGTACAGTGTCTGCACTCTGAAGGAGGGGTGTTAATGTTGCAGTTTTATAACTGTAGTGTAGGCACGCCTCTGACAAGACAGTGATGGAGTGAATGATGATGCAAGTTTTTCTTTTTTGGGCCATCGAGAGTATATCTACTCTCTGAGCCCGGCCATGGGCCAGGCTCGTCTGGTGCTCACCTGGTCAACCAGGCTGTTTCTGCTGGAGGCCCGCTGCCCCACATATCCATCACAGCCTGGTTGATCTGGCACCTGGTGAAGAGTGAAGATACTTGTCTAGTTTCCTCTTGAAGGCTTCTACACTTGTTCCAGCAGTGTTTCTGATATCTTCTGGTAAGATGTTGAAAAGTCTGGGACCCCGGATGTTGATACAGTTTTACCTTATTGTCCCCACCGCACCCCTGCTCCTCACTGGGTTTATTTTACACTTCCTCCTATATCTCTCACTCCAGTATGTTGTTATGGCAGTGTGCAGATTTGGGACCAAGCCCTCGAGTACCTTCCAGGTACATGTATATATTATCATGTACCTCTCTCTCCTCCGCTCCAATGAGTACATGTTCAAGACTTGCAGGCATTCCCAGTAGTTTAGGTGCTTTACTGGCTCAATGTGAGCCATAAACGATATCTGTATTTGTTCCAGCTCCGATATTTCTCCTGCCCTGAACGGGGCCATCAGCACTGAGCAATATTCTAAGTGAGGGAGCACTAGCCATTTGAAGAGTGTCACCATCAGCATTGTTTCTCTTGTTTTGAAAGTTCTCAATATCCACCCAGTCATCTTCCTGGCTGCCGTGATCTTTGTCTTGTTATGGTCTTTAAAAGAAAGGTCCACTGACATAATTATTCCTAGGTCTTTTACGTATTCCTTACGTTCTATTTGGTGACCCTCTTGAGTTTTGTACATAGTGCTCCTTTTGAGTTCTTCATTCTTTCCATACCTAAGCAGCTGGAACTTATCACCATTGAATATGCTTTCCACTGCCCACTGGAAAACCCTGTTTATGTCTTCCTGTACTTTTTCAGTGTCCTCTACCGTACTGACTTTCATGCTTATTTTAGTGTCATCTGCAAATGATGATACAAAAGTGTGCCGGGTGTTTTTGTCTAAAAGGGCGTTTTGTCAAAAAGAATGCAGGTGTAATATATACAGACTTTGCAAAAGCCTTCGACAAGTGTGACCATGGCGTAATAGCACACAAGATGTGTGATAAAGGAATAACAGGAAAAGTTAGTAGATGGATCTATAATTTCCTCACAAACAGAACACAAAGAGTAGTCAAAGAGTAGTCAACAGAGTAAAGTCCGAGGCAGCTACGGTGAAAAGCACTGTTCCACAAGGCACAGTACTCGTTCCCATCTTGTTTCTCATCCTCATATCTGACATAAACAAGGATGTCAGCCACAGCACCGTGTCTTCCTTTGCAGACGACACCCGAATCTGCATGACAGTGTCTTCCATTGCAGATGCTGCACGGCTCCAGGCGGACCTCAACCAAATCTTTCAGTGGGCTGCAGAAAACAATATGAAGTTCAACGATGAGAAATTTCAATTACTCCAATATGGTAAACATGAGGAAATTAAAACTTCATCAGAGTACAAAACAAATTCCTTCCACAAAATAGAGCGAAAAACCAATGTGAAAGACCTGGGAGTGATCATGTCGGAGGATCTCACCTTCAAGGACCATAACATTGTATCAATCGCATCTGCTAGAAAAATGACAGGATGGATAATGAGAACCTTCAAAACTAGGGATGCCAAGCCCATGATGACACTCTTCAGGTCACTTCTTCTATCTAGGCTGGAATATTGCTGCACACTAACAGCACTTTCAAGACAGGTGAAATTGCTGACCTAGAAAGTGTACAAAGAACCTTCAGTGCACATAACGGAGATAAAACACCTAAATTACTGGGAGCGCTTGAAGTTCCTGAACCTGTACTCCCTGGAACGCAGGCAGGAGAGATACATGATTATATACACCTGGAAAATCCAAGAGGGACTAGTACCGAACTTACACACGAAAATCACTCACAACGAAAGCAAAAGACTCGGCAGACAATGCAACATCTCCCCAATGAAAAGCAGGGGTGTCACTAGCACGTTAAGAGACAATACAATAAGTGTCAGGGGCCCGAGACTGTTCAACTGCCTCCCAGCATACATAAGGGGGATTACCAATAGACCCCTGGCTGTCTTCAAGCAGGCACTGGACAAGCACCTAAAGTCGGTACCTGACCAGCCGGGCTGTGGCTCGTACATTGGATTGCGTGCAGCCAGCAGTAACAGCCTGGTTGATCAGGCTCTGATCCACCAGGCAGCCTGGTCACAGACCGGGCCACGGGGGGCTTTGACCCCCGGAACTCTCTCCAGGTAAACTCCAGGTCCAGGTATGTCTGCTATGAGGATAAGGAACAGCAGAGGTGCCAGGACAGTGCTTAGGGGCACTGAGCTTTTGACCTCGCTGATGCTGGATCTTGCCCTGTTCACTACTACTTTTTGTGTCCTGTGTGTTAGGAAACTGAAAATCCATCTGCCTACCTTCCCCGTAATGCCCATGGCCTTCTTTTTGTGCGCTATCACTCCATGATCGCATTTGTCAAACGCCTTTGCAAAATCTGTGTAAATCTTCCAGTGCCTCCGTAATTCTGTCATAATGGATCAGCAGCTGTGACAGACATGATCGTCCTGCTCTAAAACCATGCTGGTTCGGGTTATGTTGGTTGTGCTGGTCCATGAAATTTGTAACCTGCTGTCTCATCACTCTTTCAAAGATTTTTATGATTTTAATAACATTATCAATACCTAAAAACCTACGCTGTTCCTCTCATAATTTGGTGTAATCTGAGCTATTTCTTTCTTACTGCAAATTAAATTCTTAAAACTTACTTTCCATTCCTTGCCTAAATTTTGAAAAGTTTAATATTAAAATATTTTACATTTAATTTGGTTTCATTCCAAATTTAATGGAGTGGAAAAAATCATTGAGCATGAAGACTTTTATTGCCTTTACATAATTTATTTTTTTGTTATTAACACACCAGTCATTTCCCACCAAGGCAGGGTGGCCCTAAACATAAAAACTCTCATCATCATTCACTCGATCATTGTCTTGCCAGAGGCATGTTGACACTACAGTTATAAAACTGCAACATTAACACCCCTCCTTCAGAGTGCCGGCACTTTCCACCTCCAGGAATCAAGTCCAGCCTGCCGGTTTCCCCGAATCCCTTCATAAATGTTAGCTTGCTTACACTCCAACAGCACATCAAGTCCTAAAAACCATTTGTCTCCATTTGCTCCTATCTAACATGCTCACACACACTTGCTGAAAATCCAAGCCCCTCGCACACAAAATCTCCTTTACCCCCTCCCTCCAACTTTTCCTAGGCTAACCCCTACCCAGCCTTCCCTCCACAACAGATTTATACACTCTTGAAGTCATTCTATTTCATTCCATCCTCTCTACATGTCCAAACCTCTCAATAACCCCTCCTCAGTCCTCTTACATAAGTCATAATTAATATTAGCTCAGGGTTTAGTTTCTAAGAAACAGATAGGCTTACATCTGCTATTCTAAGAAACAGCTAGGCTTACATTTGGTATTTCTAAGAAACAGCTAGACTTATATCTGCTATTTCTAAGAAACAGCTAGGCTTACATCTGCTATTTCTAAGAAACTGCTAGGCATACAAATATTGGCCCCAAGGCAATATTTGTATGCATTCTATGTTTCTAAATTTGTGACAATATTCATGCGAGTGTCAACTTGCTGCATGACTAGTTTCTGAAAGCTATTAATAAAACCATGTTTTCCCTGACAAATGAACAGCATACATGATTTATTAAATACCAATGTTCAATAGATAATTACAATACATTAACTGAGAAAAATGAATTCACAGATTGAAGAAAGCTTCAACAATATACAACACTGTAGCATCTTGCCAAATAATGTCCTTCAATATTAAAAATTAGTTACAATGAAATTGATCTTCACACTATTTGCTTTTTCACAAGTGGTGCAAGATTTTAACAGCTCATATTTTCACCAAGATATGTTGTGTATCTTTATATGTGTATGCTTCTAAACTGTTGTATTCTGAGCACCTCTGCAAAAACAGTGATAATGTGCGAGTGTGGTGAAAGTGTTGAATGATGATGAAAGTATTTTCTTTTTAGGGATTTTCTTTCTTTTTTGGGTTACCCTGCCTCGGTGGGAGACGGCCGACTTGTTGAAAAAAAAAAAAAAAATCCCACTGACACACTTGTCCTTTTAATTTTCTTACCTGTAATTGAATATGCATATTAAAATTGTACACAGAGATGTTTGGAAACCAAAACTGGGTAATGTGTAAGAAAATGAAGGATACAAGATGAGAATGGGTTGTGGTTTGTATGTTGCATTGCATGCAGCCAACAGTAACAGCCTGGTTGATCAGACCCTGATCCACCATGAGGCCTAGTCACAGACCGGACCGCAGGGGCATTGACCCCCAGAACTCTCTCCAGGTATATTCCAGGTATGATGAATAGTGAAGTATAAAATTTTTATCCATATTTTTCATTTTCACAGGACAGTAAATGTACTTACAGCACCTTAATAATCACTTATATGCAATATTACACAGTCAGCAATATGAAGAGTACAGTTTTTTCCTCGCTTTATGCCGTTTCAACTTGTGCAAATTCATTTGTGTGTGATGAGAATACATCTGCCAGTAATTTCTTACATATAAGCAGCAGAAATTCACTTATATTTTATCCCCCAAGCCTAACACCACTTGCTGTTTGATCATATCTATAAAACAGTGACAAAATAAAGCATTGCAACAGGCCTACTGGCCAGTTCTAGGTAAGTGTCCTGCTCTACTAACTATTCCCACTCACAAACAACTTTTGTTAAACCATTGCTTTTCTGAAGAATGAAGGGGCACTAAGTATGCCTACTGACTCATGCTATGCAGGTTCTACTCTCAGTCACTCGGACACAACTTCATTTCTAAACCATTGTTTTCTTAAATATGGAGTACTGCAGCAGACTTACTGGCTATAGCTATAAGCACTACTTTTACCCAACCATTCTCAATTGGTTTTTTGACCAAATTAACAATTATGAATGTGGAATTTGCAAGTCTCAGAATGTATTCCTATATTTTATAATGTAAACTGGGTTCACTTCTTGCAATTTCGCTTCATATATCAAGGACCTAGAATGCATATATCACAAAAAGTGAGGCACACCTGTACATTACTAATAAAAACTGCTTACATATTCTCACAAATATTTTAGTAGGACAGGGAGGGGCAGGGTTGATCTAGAGAACTGAACTAAACACCCCTGCTCTTCAGCAAACTTTTCTGTCCTAAGATGTTAAAAAAATGGATTATTATTATTAAAATCACAATTAAACAGAAAAAATGGAAATTAGTATTTTCTGAACAATAAATGTTTCATGATGGGTGAATACATATACAGGTCTCCCTCAACATTCGCGAGGGTTAGGGGATCAAGAGCCTCGCGAATGTTGAAAAACTGTGAATGTTTGGTGCCCCAATATATTGTAGGGAAATATAATACAATACTGCTTCCTTAACTTGAACCATGAACAACCATAAAATACATGAAAACGTCATAAACTGTACTAAAAACATATATGTTATGCTTTAATAACATGTATGTTATTAAATACCACAGACTCCACCATTGCCTCCACCAATGCCTCCACCAATGCCTCTACCACTTCCTCAACCACTGCGAGTCCCTACTACCCTCCCTCCGACCCCCGCAACTGGTAGCCAGCCCTCCCACCACTCAGTGTGGTGAGTGTTTTGTTTGTTCATTATTTGCTATTAAATTACAGTATAAATAATGTAAACCCATTCATGACTATTCGGACAGGTATTGGACGGTGACATCATGTGTTTACTCTTGAACACAGCAAAGAATCAAGCATTTCTGCTACTGCTAATAATAACAATAGTAATAATAATAATAATAATAAATAACAAATAATAATAATAATAATAAATAACAAATAATAATAATAATCATAATAATAATAATAAATAACAAATAATAATAATAATAATAATAATAATACGATGTAATTGAAGAAGGAAATTGTACAAAAATACGAGGGAGTGGTTGACACATCGTCAGTGTGGCTTTGTTTATGTTGGAGTGAGCATTAGTCTCCCTGCTCTTCCAAACATTTCACAATAATTCAGCAGTTGAGGCAGTGGTATTTAATAACATATATGTTATAAATAATAATAGTATATATTATTAATAACATGTATTATTATTATTAATAACATGTATTATTATTAATAACATGTACGTTATTAAATACCACTGCCTCAATCGCTGCCTCAACAGCTGCCTCAACTGCTGCCTCAACAGCTGCCTCAACAGCTGCCTCAACCACTGCCTCAATCGCTGCCTCAACAGCTGCCTCAACCACTGCCTCGATTGCTTCCTCAACAGCTGCCTCACCCACTGCCTCAATCGCTGCCTCACCCACTGCCTCAACAGCTGCCTCAACCACTGCCTCAATCGCTGCCTCAACAGCTGCCTCAACCACTGCCTCAATCGCTGCCTCAACAGCTGCCTCACCCACTGCCTCAATCGCTGCCTCAACCACTGCCTCAATCGCTGCCTCAACAGCTGCCTCAACCACTGCCTCAATCGCTGCCTCAACAGCTGCCTCAACCACTGCCTCAATCGCTGTCTCACCCACTGCCTCAATCGCTGCCTCAACAGCTGCCTCAATCGCTGCCTCAATCGCTGCCTCAACAGCTGCCTCAATCGCTGCCTCAACAGCTGTCTCACCCACTGCCTCAATCGCTGCCTCAACAGCTGCCTCAATCGCTGCCTCAACAGCTGCCTCAATTGCTGCCTCAACAGCTGCCTCAACCACTGCCTCAATCGCTGCCTCAACAGCTGCCTCAACCACTGCCTCAATCGCTGCCTCAACCACTGCCTCAATCGCTGCCTCAACAGCTGCCTCAACCACTGCCTCAATCACTGCCTCAACAGCTGCCTCAATCGCTGCCTAAACCACTGCCTCTACCACTCCAGTCGCGCTCAATCTACAAGCACCAAACAATGAATTATTGTGAAATGTTTGGAAGAGCGGGGAGACTAATGCTCACTCCAGCATAAACAAAGCCACACTGACGATGTGTCAACCACTCCCTCGTATTTTTGTACAACTTCCTTCAATTATATCGTATTTATTATTATTATTATTATTATTATTATTATTATTATTATTATTATTACTATTGTTATTATTAGCAGTAGCAGAAATGTTTGATTCTTTGCTGTGTTCAAGAGTAAACACATGATGTCAACGTCCAATACCTGTCCGAATAGCCATTCCAATATGCAGTCATGAATGGGTTTACATTATTTATACTGTAGTTTAATAGCAAATAATGAACAAACTAAACACTCACCACACTGAGTGGTGGGAGGGCTGGCTGCTAGCTGCGGGGGTCGGAGGGAGGGTAGTAGGGACTCGCAGGTGGCGGGAAACTTGAATATGATTTGCCGGCTGGGAATTTGGTGGCTGGGAATTTGGCGGTTGTGAATTCGCGAATGTGTGAAGCCCACGAAAGCTGAAAACGTGAATGTTGAGGGAGACCTGTAAGTCAAATTCTCGACAGATTTTCCGACTTAAAAGTACACAGATTCTCGTTAATAAATTTCCCTGGAATTAGAGATTACAGTACTGTACAGTACCTGGAAAAATATTGGGCCAGAATGTCTTCCAACATTGTCATCAAATCCTTTCCCTAATGCTTGATCAATATGTTGCTGCAGGAACACGTTGAAGCTGTGCTCTGTAAGACAAGATATAACTTATGTATAACTTATGTATTACACACAAAATTATGTGATTGTCACTCCATCAGTGTAAATGACGACCCTACCTAAATTTCGTTTTCGTTCTGTAGCCACTCCAGCCAAAATGGATGCACTTAAAGCATCTGCACTGGAAGTATCTGAGAGTATCGACTGAGATGCTGGGGATTCCCATCCAGTGCGAGAAGAAAGTACACTGCCCATGCCCCTGCCTCCTCGAATGCTTCCACCTTCAGTGTTTATACTTTTGTTACTTGATCCTAGGGTCAGCTGAGAAAGATCACTAATAATGCCATCTGTTGACAAACAAATAATTAAATGTTATATGAACAGAGAAATATGTATAATGCATCTGTAATATATAACAACTATGTAGAACCCACAGCAGCCAGAAATGCCCAGGTTAAGTCACTATGTTGATATGGAAAGATGGTTTGCAAATAGTTTAGGAGTATATGCAGGTATGCCACTGAGTGGTTACTCAAATCAAGACTGAAAATGAGACAACAAATACAGTTCTGTTATTATAACTATAAACAGTCAACCACAAACAGAGGAGGGGTTATTGAGGTGGTTTGGGCATTTAGAAATAATGGAGCAGTCTAGGATGGAAGGAAGGCGACATCCAAGGAAAGGTTGGAAGGAGGGGGGATAAAAGAAAGTTTGGAGTACTAGAGACTTGAGCATCCACTAAGTTTATATGAATAAGTTAAAGAGGAGTGAAGACAAGTAGTTTTTATGGTCTGACATATTGGGTTTCAGGAAAACCAGTTAGATGACTCAAGTCTTGGAAAAGGGAAGCACAAAGCCTGCACTCTGAAGATGGGGTGAGGATGTTGCATTCTGCAGGATCATTTGAATTGTGATGTCTGCACACTTCTGACAAGATAACTACTGAATGTATGATGGTGAATGTGCTTCCAGTCTGGGATTACCCTGCCTTTGAAGATAGTATGTGTAAAAAATGAAATTCATACCACTGTTACTACTAAAGTCAATCATTAGTGATACCAAGCATAAATAAATACACCATATATGTAATTTTATTTATTTTTTGTCTGAAGCACTAAACCAATGTAAGTCATTAAGCATAATTGCTAATGGAGGCTCAGTTCTCTCTCAACTATTCATGAAACAGACATGCTAGCTATCTACCAAGTGACAACCTTGGTAAGAACATACCCTGAGAAGAGCAGAGTTTGTGGAGTGTGTTATTGATGAGGGATGATGCTGGTATCTCCTCTTGGTTTTCCTCCATTATGTAAACATATGCTTGATTGTTAGGTAAAGCAAACAATGAATTGGCACTGTTGGGGAAGAGAAAATTATTATTAATCTCTGTTATACCTATCACATGCATGCATGCAAAGCACTTAGAATATATTTTACTGACTGGAGAGAGGAGAGAGAGAGAGAGAGAGAGAGAGAGAGAGAGAGAGAGAGAAGAGAAGAGAGAGAAGAGAGAGAAGAGAGAGAGAGAGAAGAGAAGAGAGAGAGAGAGAAGAGAAGAGAGAGAGAGAGAAGAGGAGAGAGAGGAGAGAGAAGAGAAGAGAGAGAGAGAGAGAGAGAGAGAGAGAGAGAGAGAGAGAGAGAGAAGGAGAGAGAGAAGAGAGAGAGAGAGAGAGAAGAGGAAGAAGAGAGGAGAGAGAAGAGAGAGAGAGAGAGGGAGAGAGAGAGAAGAGAGAGAGAGAGAGAGAGAGAGAGAGAGAGAGAAGGAGAGAGAGAGAGAGAGAGAGAGAGGAGAGAGAGAGAGAGGAGAGAGAGAGAGAGAGAGGAGAGAGAGAGAAGAGAGAGAGAGAGAGAGAGAGAGAGAGAGAGAGGGGGAGAGAGGAGAAAGAGAGAGAGAGAGAGAGAGAGAGAGAGAGAAGAGAGAGAGAGAGAGAGAGAGAAGAGAGAGATGAGAGAAGAGAGAGAGAGAGAGAGAAAGAGAGAGAGAGGAGAGCGAGAGATGATAGAGAGAGAGAGGAAGGAGAGAGAGAGAGAGAGGAGAGAGAGAGAGAGAGGAGAGAAAGAGAGAGGGAGAGAGAGGAGGGGAGAAAAGGGGAAAAAAGGGGAGAGAGAAAAAAGAAGAGGGGAAAGAGAAGAAAAGAGAGAGAGAAGAGGAGGGAGAGAAGGAGAGGAGAGAGAGAAGAGGAGAGAGAAAGGAAGGGAGAGAGAGAAAGAGAGAGAGAGAGAAGGAGAGAAGAGAAGAGAGAGAGAAAAAGAGGGAGAGAGAAGAAGAGGAGAAAAGGGGAAGAGAAAAAAGGAGAGAGAGAGGAGAGAGAGAGAGAGAAAAAGAGAGGGAGAGAAAAGGGGGGAAGAAGAGAAGAGAAAGGGAGAGAAGAGGAAGAAAAAGGGAGAGAGAGAGGAGGAGAGAGAGAAAAGGAGAGAGGGGAAAAAGGAAAAGAGAGAGAGAGGAGGAGGAGGAAAAGAGAGAGAGGGAAAAAAGGAGGAGAGAGAGAGAGAGAGAGAGAGGAGGAAGGAGAGAGAAAAGGAGAGGGGAGAAGAGAGAGAGAGAAAGAGAGAGAAGGAGAGGGGGAGAAAGGAGGGGAAGAGAAAAGGGGGGAGAGAGAAGAGGGAGAGAAAAAGGAGAGGGAGAGAGGAAGGAGAGAGAGAAGGGGAGAGAAGAGAGAGAAAAGAGGTGAGAGAAAAGGGGGAGGAAGGGGGAGAGGGGAGGAGAGAAGAGAAGAGGAGAAGGAGAGAGAAAAAAAGGAGAGAGAAGGGAAAAGAAGAGAGAGAGGAAAAGGAAAAAAAGAAGGGGGGAAAGAGGAGAGGAAGGAGAGAGAAAAGAGAGGAGGAAGAGAGAAGAGGAGAAGAGGAAGAGGAGAGAGAGAAGAGAAGGGAAAAAAAAGAGAGGAAAGGGGGAGAGAGAAAGAGAGGAAGAGAGAAAAAAAGGGAGAGAAGAAGAAGAGAAAAAAAGAGAGAGAAGAGAGGGGAAAGGGAGAGGGAGAGAGGAGAGAGAGAGGAGGGGAGGAGGAAGAGGAGAGAGAGAGAGAGAGAAGGGGAGTGGGGGGAAAGGGGAGGAGGGGAAGAGAGAGCCCGGGGGCCACACCGGTCAAAAGCGCCAGCAATGTAGTGCTACACAGGGGCGACTGGATGATAAAAGTCAGCTTTTGTGGTACCCTGGACTTTGCGGGCGCTTTCGAGGGGTGGCTCGGGGCCTTTAGCAAAACTTCTAGCACGGGAATTGCAGGCTCTACGCTATTTTCCCCTCAGTGATTACCTTAGGGTTTTAGATTTTAAAGTGTAGTTTCAAGGAACGGAATCAGCAAGACATCTATTGGGGAAAGTGTTCCACAAGGAAGCGTGCTGGGTCCATTGTTATGGAATGTCTACTTCAACGACCTTCTTCATCTCATCCCAGAATCACATGCATATGCAGACGACTGTGGCCTGGTGGCTAAAGCTCCCGCTTCACACACGGAGGGCCCGGGTTCGATTCCCGGCGGGTGGAAACATTTCGACACGTTTCCTTACACCTGTTGTCCTGTTCACCTAGCAGCAAATAGGTACCTGGGTGTTAGTTGACTGGTGTGGGTCGCATCCTGGGGGACAAGATTAAGGACCCCAATGGAAATAAGTTAGACAGTCCTCGATGACGCACTGACTTTCTTGGGTTATCCTGGATGGCTAACCCTCAGGGGTTAAAAATCCGAACGAAATCTTATCTTATCTTATCTTATCAAGAGAAGAAATGCCAGCTGCTCTAAGCTACATCAATCACCAGCTGAGAGCTATATCAGCTTGGGGAAATAGATGGCAAGTAACATTTGCACCTGAGAAAACGCAAATGATGATCGTCTCTAGGCACCATGATGGTAATGCTGGTGCAGTAGTAAGGATGAATGGGAGGGTGTTGGCACCTGGAGAAGAAGTTGATATCCTTGGGGTGAAATTTGACTCCAAACTAACCATGAAGAACCATGTTGTAAATCTTGCAAACAAGGCAGCCAGGAAGCTTACAGCACTTCGCCGTATCTCGCATCTGCTTGACAGTAGGGGTTGCAAGATCCTGTACGAGGCACAAGTACGCTCACACCTTGAGTATGCTCCACTTTCTTGGTTTGCCTGCCCTCCCTCTCATCTGCGACTGCTTGACAGAGTAGAGAACAGAGCAAGACGTGTCATCTCTCGCCTGGACCCATCCTGGATAGATCTGTCATTTCAGCAGAACCTTCAACATAGGAGGGATGTGGGTGGCCTTACTGTTATGTACAAGGCCAATATTGTCAAAATACCACACTTGGATCCACTTCGAGGACAGCGTGAAACAAGCTTTTATGCCACAAGACAGGCAGAAAGCAGCAACTTCACTCTGGCTGTACCCTTCTCCAGAACATCACTCCATCTGAGATCATACATACCCAGGATGGCTCGAGTATGGAACACATTCGTACAGCATAATGATGTCAACGAGATAAAGTCAGTTGATCAAATGAAAATGCTGGCCCACAGATGGCTCCAACTTCATCCTGTTCCCTACTTGTATGTCTCATAACAATAAAAATGCTTTCAAATGAGCTGATGTAGGTAACAGCTCTTAGCTTGCCAATAAAGTTAGGAATCCTTAACCTGTAAATAGCTGTCAATAAAGCTAGGGATCCTTAACCTTGTCAAACCCTGTGTAAAAAAAAAAAAAAAAAAGAGAGAGAGAGAAATAGAGAAATAGACAGTGAGACAGACAAAGGGAAAGAGACAAACACACAGAGACACGGACAGAGAGAGAGAGAGAAATCTGATAATACACTGCATACAGAGAATACATCTACGAGTCGGTTTCCTCATCTACACACTGCCATAACTTGCTAATGAAGGATATAGAAAAAGATGCAAATATACCCAGTGAAGTGCAGGGGTGCCTTAAACACAATTAAAGAACACTGCTGACATTTATGTTCCACAACAGTTCCACCTTCTACCAGAGGATAACAGAAATATTATCTAAAAGGAGGAACCTGGACAAGTTAGTGGAGGTACCAGCTCAGCCATAATGTGATGGCTATGAAGGGCTGCATGACAGGCAGGTGACCCTGTGATCAGTCAGGCTGATCACAGGGTCACCAAGGAAGCCTGGAGTTGGGCTGAGCTACAAAAGTTGAACTCTTGAATCCAGTCATTAGATTATACACCTCAAGTTTAACAATGTTCTCTCACTCTCCTTCCCTTCCTCACTGCTACAACAAATTCTCTAATACAGTACTTCAACTACCATAACACTCTTATTTATGAATCTTTCTAATTAGTGTACAGTAACCTTTATATAGTGTACTTTCTATCAGCCATTAACTTGAAAAATTTTTAACCTATATTTTCTATACTACAAAATATATGGTAGTGTACAGTGAATGTGTCTCACCTGATATTGGTAATGACTCTGCTCTTCCGGAGAAGTCGATAAATCTGATCCTCAAGGGCAAGTTCCAAATTGCGAAGGGGGCTTGGTACAGTGGAATTTCTAGAGGTTCTATTAACCGTTGTCCTACAGATGCAATGTATTTTCAAATTATACAGAAAATAATATAATATATACAGTATATATAATATAATATATACACCCTGCCTCGGTGGGAGACGGCCGACTTGTTGAGAAAAAAAAAAAAAAAGATACAGTAGTGTATACTAACTGGACTTATATTTTTTAAAGTGTAATAAACACTATGCATATAATGAAATACATGTATTGTAACACCATACATGACATTTATAACAGAGGAGCTATTACAATGTTGAAACTTTAAGTAATAATATACTGTAATTCTTCCAAAGTGATTCTACTCTTACAAAAATACTGCCTTGTCCTGTCCTTTACCTGATCTTTGCTTTTCTCCCTGACTAGATTACTTGAATACTACTTGCCCCTATATTCCTTGTCTCAATCATATGCCCTTTTATATAAGATTAATGAAAAAATGTGGAAAAGCTATATGAAAAGTTCCTAAATTACCTTTGCACAGAAGCATTATCATGAGATGTTATCTGAATGGGTAACAACCGAGAAGAGAAGATGAACAGAACACGAGGGGAACACAAACGACCAAACGAAACCCAGTCCTTGCTGATTCCGGGAACTTGTCTTAGTACCTCAGCGAGGCAGTTTTGTGCTTTAGATCTGAAAAAAAAAAAAGAAGAATGGAGACAGCCATTTCTTTATTTAATATCATGGGATGCCGTTTGTATATCATGACACACTGGCAAGTGTAAAATGCTGCTTAAAAAATGATTAACACACATATAAGCAGAAATAATATTTTGTGAAGGGATTCAGGGAAACCGGTTAGCCAGATTTGAGTCCTGGAGGTGGGACATACATGCATGCTACACTTCAAAAGAGGGGTTTGGGATATTTGCTGTTGAGAGGGATATCTAAACTGTCATATCTGTGTGCCTCTGGCAAGACAAGTGATAGCCTGCATGATGGTGAAGGTTTTTCTTTTACAAGTCACCCTGCCTCGGTGAGAGACAGTCAGCACGTTAATAAAGTAGAAACGTACAGTTATGTTAATGACAGGATATACAATGTAAATGTCTGGTGGCTGGAAGGGATGTGAGAGGCATCAAAGGTAGAGGCTTGAACTTTCACTAGGCAAATGAGAGCATGTTTAAAAAGTGGAAGATAGTGGTCGATCAAATTTGATATGTTGCTGAAGAATGAGAAAGGCAATATTCAAAGGGAATTGTGGAAACTAACTGGCTGATCTTGAATTTTGAAGGATGGAAAAGTTTTGAAGGTTCATGAAAGCGAGTTAAGGCAGTGAGTTTGGCAAGTTAACATTAGGGCATGACGACTGCCATTCTTGAAAAACAGGTAGAAAGCAAGGTATTCTTAATGTGTTGAGTGACAGCATCCTTGTAACAAATTTTGTACTTGAAACAGGCCTACTTACCTAAAAATCAAACACCCAAAATTTCCTGTCATACAGGGCCCCATATATACAGCACTTATTTTCGGTGTTCCACATTTTTGTTGGCTTACAACTGAGCCATTGTTCCACCTGTTGATGACTATCACTGGTGGGTGGAACATAATGAACAATGGCTCAGTTTGAAGCCAACAAAAGCATGGAACACCAAAAAGAAGGTAATGTATATGTGGGGGTCCTCCTATATTTAGGTATATTATTGTATAATAATATACCTAAATATAGGAGGACCCCACATATACATTACCTTCTTTTTGGTATATTATTATATAATAATATACCTAAATATAGGAGGTATATTATTATGCAGAGAAGTATACAATACCGACAAGATGAAAGTTAAAAAAACACTTGTGCAACATCTGGTTATCTTTATTGTAGATGTTTTGCCATCCAGCGGCTTTATCAATACAGATTCTTGGACATAATAAGAAATCAGAAGAACTATATACAAAAGATGAGGTAATCAGTCCCTCAGCCTTGGAAGTGGTGTTTAGAGCACCATGGTTGTAGAGATTCTGAAGCACAGGCAAGGAGACTGGCGCTTATATAGGCATCAGTGAAAGGGACGTGTAGCAGACGAGGGCATAGTCACTGGTAGGCGGGATTCCCCAGTGGAAGTAGGTCCTACCCAAATTGATGGGTTAGTTGCAGTAGCCGTGAAGAAGGTGATGTAGAAGTCCTCTGAACCAAGATTCCATGATGTTGCAGTGCCTGACAAGTTGTGCAAGACAGGTATACAATACCGACAAGATGTGCTCTAAACACTACCTCCAAGGCTGAGGGACTGATTACCTCATCTTTTGTATATAGTTCTTCTGATTTCTTATTATGTCCAAGAATCTGTATTAATAAAGCCACTGGATGGCAAAACGTCTACAATAAAGATAACCAGATGTTGCACAAGTGTCTTAACTTTCATTATACACAGAAGAAGCCTTCCTCGTTAAACCTACAAATTTTCCCATTTTATCAAATGGGAGAATATGTATATTAAATTTAATACTGTACTTGAGGCAAAGCAGAACTGACTGAAAAAAAAAAGGTGAGAATTCAATTTCAATAAAAGCAAACAACTCACTTGAAAATGTTGAATATACAAAGATCTTTTAAGTGTATAGAAATCTAGAGCTTTAGAAAGTTATAAAGAATGTAAAGAGCATAGTAATTATAAACACAGAGTGTACTAATGCATTTAATGCCTTTGGTGTTGCTCTCTTACTAACCTGATTGCATCAAGTGTCCGAAAGAGATGAATATAACTTATGTCGAAAACATGAGTTGGGTGACACAGTAGTAGCAAATGAGACACAGAAAACAGTACCAGGAGACTTCGAGCATATCCCAGCTTTAGGCTCGACCATGCCATCAAGAACCCCTAGTATGGAAATAAACAAAAGATATATGATAAGCTATAGATATAAGCTGCAATGATATGAATACTAACATTATTATTTTTAAAACTCATCACAATTTTGAAATGATACAATATACCCACCTAAATCTATAAGTAGACTGTTTTTTGAAAACATGAGCTATGATCATGTGGCTTAAGATTTTCTACTGTACTCTGAAAATTTACTTGGTATTTTACATGTTCACTAGACAGAAAGGAAAAAAAAAAAAAAAAGGCACTCCTGCCTCGTTGCAAAATATTTAACAGGCTTCCAGGACACCCTCATGTGACAGGATTGTAGTAACATACAGTACGTCCCTGGATGATTGCTGTGGGCTTTGTAAAAAATTACTCTGCAAATCATGCCCACATTGTTCCACACCTAAGCCTGTATTTTTTAAAAATTAACAAATAAATGAATTGTGAATGAAACATTGCCTCTGGCAAGACAGTGATAACGTGAATGATGGTGAATGTATTTTCTTTTTTTTGGGTCATCCTACCTCAGTGGGAGAAGACCAGTCTGATAAAAAAAAAAAAATAATAAAATACAATATAATGTAATTACAATCTGTGTAACTGTGTACTAATATTTAATTACCCAAATTATATTAACTATCCCTTTATTAATTTAGTCTTAAAAAAATTCAGATGCATAATTACTTTGTCTTGAAGCTGTTGGTGCATTGCCTCTAGGGAAGATATCAAGGTCGAGGTGTCATAGGCTCCAGTTAAGTGCAAGTAGATGGTTCTTCGAACTGGGTTATAATAACCTTCCACTCCAATCTGAGAAGTGAAATGCAAACATCAAGTCAGTTACAGGAAATTACTGTACCCACAGCAGCTGCATGCATATCTCCCACGACCTCCTGGAGATGTATCTCCAGGAGGTCTTGGGAGATATGCATACAGCAGCCCCTGGAAGATATGGATACAGCAGCCCCTGGGATATATACCTGTTGGAGTTCCTGGGAGATACACCTTTAGAAGCTCCTGAGAAATGTACCTACAGGAGCACCTGGAAGATATGTCTGCAGCAGCTCTTGACAGATATACATGTACCTACAGGAGCACCTGGAAGATATGTCTGCAGCAGCTCTTGACAGATATACATGCATCAGCTCCTGGGAGGTATACCTGCAGAAGGTCCTACGAGATGCACCTGCAGCAGCTCCTGCAAGATACCCCTGCAGTAGCTACTGGGAGATATACTGACCAGAGCTCTTACAAGATACACCAGAGGCACTTTCTGCAAGGAATACTTACAAGAGTTCCTTGGAAATATACCTGCAACAGCTGCTAGGAAATATACCTGCAACAGCTGCTAGGAAATATACCTGAAGGAGATCAGGATAGAAACACTTGCAGGAGTTCCAAGGAGATATACTCAATTATAACAAAGTTACTGTAAACTTAGCTAGAATGAAGCCTAGACAAAACAGACTGTCATAATTGCTTCGTACATTTTTCACACTGATTCGTTTTGTTTTCACTTTATGTTTAAAATTAAAAAATTTAAATAACACATTTTTATTGTTTTGATATTTATGAGCTTACTGTAAAACTTTTTTATTGTGTTTTGATTTTAAATACAGAATAATAATTATGTACTTCATTTAAAACTGTATCTTCCTTGTTTTTTTATTTTAAAAACAAAATAAAAATGTATAACAAATTTAAAATTATTTGGTACGTGTCATGGCGCCTTTTTTTTATATGCTCACTTCCCCGAATTTCAGAACTTGGCTATGCCACTGGATGTACCTGAAGGATGTTTAGGGAGATATAACATGTCATTCTTTCCCTAATCTGGAAACTACATATGTACTTCATTTTTTCACATAAATAATAAAACAATATATAATAGAGAATATTTTTGTTATCATGTGGATGCTTAATATTAAAGTGAAGCAAAATTTAAATATATATCTGAAAAGCATAATAACATTATTGTAAAAATGTGTAATTTGCAGTTTTGAACTGTAGTATCAGTGACAGAGTGAGTGATGGTGAATATTTTTCTTCTTTTTCAGGTCACCTTGACTCAATGGGAGATGGCTGGTGTGTTTAAAAAAAATAATGTAAAAAAAATTATAAACAGCAAACTAACCATAGTGTCGAAGTCAATAGATAATGGCTGAATCATATTCCGTTGGAATATTTTTCGGCCTACCATTAATTCAAGTGCTGTAGCTTTACATCCTCCCGAGTCCATGGTGCTCTTGCCAAAGATAGCCACCACCACTACACGCTGCTTCCCTGTGAAATCTCTGAAGACACAAGAAGAACAAGGAATAATTATACAATATTCATTCTGAATAGCTGTCAGCTACAGCTTAAATCAAGTTATACCCGAATCTACCGAGTTACTGATGCTAGTGTATAAAACACTGAAGGACGGGCTTCTCCTTGTATATGTATCTGTTTTTACACACAGCAATTATTATAATTCATTTCACTTCTTAAGACTGTTGTAGCCCATCATGATGTTCCCAAATGCACTTTCTTCAGATTCCTAGTTTGTCAATTGCCCCTTTTTTATATAAAAACTGTAGGTAACACATTTAGGTTTAATTTTGGAGATGGGGGAAGAAGAATATGTTATTTTCCACATAATAAATAATACAGTATGATACATTATCATTGGTTTTAGTACTATACATAAAGCCCAAAATAAATAAATATAGTGTAGTGCAAGACTTACTGGGGAGACCATGATGTTGGAAGAGTAAAATGACCATGGTGGGATGCCCCAGCCTCCATATTATTCTGAAAAATTAGGACAGTCAAAATGAATTAATAATTTAATCTAAGATTTATACAAGACACATTAAGTTTATTTAGGTACAGGTACACTTAAGTACAATTATTATACATGTTGTAAATTACCTAAGATAACCCTAAAAAGTCAAGGTGACTTAGTATTTCTATTGGAGTCCTGGACTTACTTCCATTGGGATCCTTGTAGTACTGTACAATGTTTCCCCTTATTAAATTTTTACTGTATTTAATTATAAAATATACTAAATAGAAAAGCTAAGCTTTTAATTAACCAAAATCCTTATCAGGTTTATCTACATTATTTTTGCACGTATATTATTATTATTATTACAATCAAGGGGGAAGCGCTAAACCCGGAGGATTATACAGCGCCTGGGGGGGATGTGGAAGGCATTCAGGCTTAATTCGGGGAACTGGAGCATAGATCCAATTCCCTAAATCAAGAGCCCCTCACCAACATCAAGGAACCTTCCTTGAGGGGTTTGCACGTATAATATGTGAAATGCCCATTAAAAATCTTTAATGGGTATTTCATTGCTTTACTCTCACCCCTAATAAATATTTTAATAATTTATCTTTCAAACTCAATGGACTTTATTATTATTCTCAAAAAGAAGCGCTAAACCCAAAAAGGGTCATACAGCGTCAATGGAAATGAAACATTAAACTGATGTGAAACATTTCTGAATTTAACGAATTAGCTAACGTAATATTATCTGTATTATTATTACAACTAAGCGCTAAACCCACAAGGGTGGTAGTATCTATAATTAAGAGACATTAATGTGACAAACCATCTTGTTGTTGTAGTTCTTAAGGGCGACTGAAGCTTCACTGAGGCTAGCTTCCCCAGAGTCTGGGTGATGTGTTGCCCTAACCTGTGTCTTGACTACTATAAAGCAAGGAAGGAAACTATAAAGCAAGGAAGGAAACTATAAAGCAAGGAAGGAAACTATAAAGCAAGGAAGGAAACTATAAAGCAAGGAAGGAAACTATAAAGCAAGGAAGGAAACTATAAAGCAAGGAAGGAAACTATAAAGCAAGGAAGGAAACTATAAAGCAAGGAAGGAAACTATAAAGCAAGGAAGGAAACTATAAAGCAAGGAAGGAAACTATAAAGCAAGGAAGGAAACTATAAAGCAAGGAAGGAAACTATAAAGCAAGGAAGGAAACTATAAAGCAAGGAAGGAAACTATAAAGCAAGGAAGGAAACTATAAAAGCAAGGAAGGAAACTATAAAGCAGGAAGGAAACTATAAAGCAAGGAAGGAAACTATAAAGCAAGGAAGGAAACTATAAAGCAAGGAAGGAAACTATAAAGCAAGGAAGGAAACTATAAAGCAAGGAAGGAAACTATAAAGCAAGGAAGGAAACTATAAAGCAAGGAAGGAAACTATAAAGCAAGGAAGGAAACTATAAAGCAAGGAAGGAAAACTATAAAGCAAGGAAGGAAACTATAAAGCAAGGAAGGAAACTATAAAGCAAGGAAGGAAACTATAAAGCAAGGAAGGAAACTATAAAGCAAGGAAGGAAACTATAAAGCAAGGAAGGAAACTATAAAGCAAGGAAGGAAACTATAAAGCAAAGAAGGAAACTATCAAGCAAGGAAGGAAACTATCAAGCAAGGAAGGAAACTATCAAGCAAGGAAGGAAACTATAAAGCAAGGAAGGAAACTATAAAGCAAGGAAGGAAACTATAAAGCAAGGAAGGAAACTATAAAGCAAGGAAGGAAACTATAAAGCAAGGAAGGAAACTATCAAGCAAGGAAGGAAACTATCAAGCAAGGAAGGAAACTATCAAGCAAGGAAGGAAACTATAAAGCAAGGAAGGAAACTATAAAGCAAGGAAGGAAACTATAAAGCAAGGAAGGAAACTATCAAGCAAGGAAGGAAAACTATCAAGCAAGGAAGGAAACTATCAAGCAAGGAAGGAAACTATAAAGCAAGGAAGGAAACTATAAAGCAAGGAAGGAAACTATAAAGCAAGGAAGGAAACTATAAAGCAAGGAAGGAAACTATAAAGCAAGGAAGGAAACTATAAAGCAAGGAAGGAAACTATAAAGCAAGGAAGGAAACTATCAAGCAAGGAAGGAAACTATAAAGCAAGGAAGGAAACTATCAAGCAAGGAAGGAAACTATAAAGCAAGGAAGGAAACTATCAAGCAAGGAAGGAAACTATAAAGCAAGGAAGGAAACTATAAAGCAAGGAAGGAAACTATAAAGCAAGGAAGGAAACTATAAAGCAAGGAAGGAAATTATAAAGCAAGGAAGGAAACTATAAAGCAAGGAAGGAAATTATAAAGCAAGGAAGGAAATTATAAAAGAAGGAAACTATAAAGAAAGAATGAGAGCTATAAAGGAAAGAAGGGAACTATAAATGAAGGATGGAAAGGAACTGTAAAGGAAAGAAGGGAACTATCAAGGAAGAACGGAAGGATGGAAAGGAACTATAAAGAAAGGAAGGAAACTATAAAGGAAGGAATGAAGGATGCTATAAAGGAAGGTAGTAAGTTTATTTAGGTACAGGTATACATAAAAACAGTTATACAAATTACCATACATAGTAACATATATTTAAATTACCTAATAATCAGATATTACAAGGACCCCAATGGAAATAAGTCACGTTGTCATGTGTAAGCAGGGGCCCAATACCGGATTTTTTTTTTTTTTTGGGGGGGGGGTCTTAGATTTGGCATAGGAAAATATTTTTTTTCAATTTCAGTTATGGCTTTAAATTCTTTCTGTGCTTCTTGGCTTCAGAATGATTCCTTAAGCTCTCGCTTCACACGGCGAGGTTCTGGATTCGATTCCCGGCGAGGGTAGAAACATTGGGCGTGTTTCTTTACACTGGTTATCTATGTTCCCCATCAGTAAAATGGGTACCTGGGAGTTAGTCGACTGGTGTGGGTCGCATCCTGGGACACTGACCTAATTTGGCCGAAATGCTCTGCATAACAAGGGGTTTTCTATATAGTAGTATGTCATTGATGTCAGCTAGGACTGTATACCCTGTACATGTACTTGTAGAAATAAATATATATTATTATTATATTTAAAAGTTATGGTTGAACTTAAAATATGCATTTTCTATAAATAAGAAAAAACTTTAAAGGGGTAACTTAACCTTGTTTAATTTTTTCCTTGGTGTATAACTTTACATGATAATTATCCTTGAATGGGTTATCCTGATACCAGCTAAGGACTTTTGATCCGAGGAACTGGCACTACTCTCCCCTTAAGATCAACTAAGGGTTCGGTCACACACCCGTCAGATCATAATACCTAAATTACATTTAAGTTGTTGGGTGTTGTTTGCTAGTAACTTTATTCAGGTATACACAAACACAGTTACACAGATTATCATACATAACACCATATGTGTAGAGAACCTGGGATAACCCCCAAAAAAAAGTCAGACAAAGTGACTTATTTCCACTGGGGGGTCTAAGATTTTTTTTTTTTTTTTAACCCGGGAGAGGGTTAGCCACCCAGGGTAACCCGGGGAGGGTATGTCACCCACGATAAACTGGGGAGGGTTAGCCACCTAGGATAACTCAGGGGAGGGTTAGTCACCCAGGATAACCCAAGGAAGTCAGTTTAACATCTTGATTATGACCCCATACCAATCCTGTGGGCGGGAGTCAAAAGATTAGAGAGGTACATAATGTAATCTTTCGGCTACTGCCCACAGGATGGGTATAGGGTAAGAAAGTCAGTGCGGCATCGAGGACCGTCTCTCATTTCTACTGTGGTCCTTCAATCTTGTCCCCCAGTCGACTAACACCCAGGTATCTACCTACTGCTAGGTAAATAGAGACAGCAGATGTAAGGAAACATGCCCAACGTTTCCACCCGTGCCGGGAATTGATTTACACTCTAAGAGATCAGGGTTCGGTTCTCGGACGAGTAAAAACTTTGGACACATTTCCTTACATTTATTGTCCTGTTTACCTGATTGTAAGTAGGTACCTGGATACTTGTCCGACTGCTGTGGGTCGCATCCTGGGAGAGAGGATTCAAGTTCCTCAACTAAAATAAGGCAGTCCGACGACCGTGTCTTTAATGAATCATACTGGATTATTAACCCTATGGGATAATAAACTGGAAATAAACCTTTAAGGATTATACACCGCCAAGGGGAAGTAAGGCACCTCCACTGTTCAAGGTACCTACCTTCTTTACTCACCTAACGGTGGCTGCAGGGGTCGAATCTCAGCTTATGGCCCTTCCTTTCCACTGGCCACTACTGGGTTCATTCTCTCCTGGTTGCATGAGCCCTGTCATACTCATTCTTAAAGCTTTGTATGGATCCTGACCTTGTTTGAGATTTAATGTTTTAAACTCTTATAAGTTACAACGCTATCAAACACTTTTTTTAAGATGATTGCTGACTTGGGTTGTTCCCACACATACTTATGTGTTCATACTCACGCTTGCTCTATCTTCCTGTTCCTCTTACATACTTTTCTGGAGAGAGCTAAGATTTTGTTGGGATTTTTAACATGGAGGGTTAACCACCCAGGATAACCCAAGAAAGTCAGTGCGTCATGGAGACCGTGTCTTATTTACCTTATGGTCGGCGACCCCGTGGCCTGGCTGGCAAAACTCTCGCTTTACACACGGAGGGCCCGGGTTCGATTCCCGGCGGGTAGAAACATTTCGACGCGTTTCTTTATACCTGTTGTCCTGTTCACCTAGCAGCAAGTAGGTCCCTGGGTGTTAGTCGACTGGTGTGGGTCGCATCCTGGGGGACAAGATTGAGGACCCCAACGGAAATCAGACAGTCCTCGATGACGCACTGACTTTCTTGGGTTATCCTGGGTGGTCAGGGCCGGATTTAGACCTTGGGGGAGCCCAGATCACTTTAGGTTTGGGGGGCCCTGAACATGGAAATTAAACTGAATTACAAATAAGAAATTAACTAAAATGAATGATAAACAGCAGTTTTCGAAAAAAAAATGTTAGGTTTCGAAGAAGACGTCTGATTTTATTTTTCTCAATTTTATTGACTAAGAATAACTGACTATAATTTTCAGTTTGTAATATGTTCCATCTACACTACATAATAATTACCGATGTGTATTTGTATCTTTGGCGTCACACTTTCGGTATCTATATGGTGGCAGTTGACCAAAAGGACACATGCTTTTCTGTGACAGGAAGCCACATGACTGGGTCTGAATCACATGGTGGCACTTCAAAGTCCATGTTTACAGAAGTATCTGTAGAATGTGGTTGTGGCGATTCATGAACTTTGTTATCTTGATTTGGTATGTTTTTATTATTTTATGCAGATGTACTTGGGAATGCGGGGTGGGTCCTCAGAAGAAA